TGTGTTTTAATTTCTAATTGCAATCTAAATATATTTATGGTACCTATGTCCAATTTTCGTGAACTTTTGTTCTTTTTATGTGCTACATTGATTTGAACACAATTTCAAAGAAAATATCATGTTTTATTATGTTAAAAATTAGTTAAAAAAAAGTTATAATTAATATAATAAACCAACACAAACCAAACTACTAAGTTTCACTAATGACTCAAATTCCGTTGAACCGGGGATACGCTTATTTACTCGAGCAAACGAAATTTCAACCAGTAAATATCCCCTGTGACAACAAAAATTTTTAACATCTCCATCAGCTGTTTTTTGCGCCATCACGTTCCCTATGGCAGCGGTCTTAACATTCCGCTCCCTAAAATGCGAAGTTTACCTCCTCGCGGAGCTCATATTGTACAGAAAATGTCTTTCGGTGTCCCCGGGGCGAGGGGGCCGGCTCCAATGACAGTGACTCCGGACAAAAGTCAGGATCATCAATACCGGGAACATCTATAAAAGTGTCCTATTCACGGCGGGGACGACGGTTCGATTTTTACTGGCGATAATGCCAGCGTGTGGTTTCGAAGATCCGAACGTAATTATTTTCCGTGGAGATCCTGCCGGGTATTCGGCGTCTTTTTTACGACGGACATTGCGCTTGGTCTCCCGGCGAGAGAAGCCGGGAGAGAAGAGAGCCCCCTCGGCTGCGAGAAACGGGCAGCGAGCGGTGAGGTCGTGGGTATACGATATCTGATGCAGAAAACCGGTAAAGGCCGAAGACCGATGGAACCGGAGGGGCGAGGGATGCCGAGCGAACGAGAAGGACCAAAAGCAAAGACACGATTGTGGGGCCACGGCACATTGTCTTCGGGTGACTTAAAAATCCAACTCGTGCCTCGTTAACCGTCCTATCTGATACAACCGGCGTGGGCCCCTCGAAGGGAGTACACGACGCACGGTCTTTCGGTCCTCTCCTCGTTCGGCGCGATCTTTCCCTCCCCTTTTTTCATATGGCTCTTTTCTTTTTTTAAATCCTCCACCTCCGCCAACTCGCCCACGTGACCTTGCGGCTTCTGAAAGTGAACTCTGCCGGGGAGTTGTTGGTAGCGTAACATCGAATTGCCACGGTGTTTGTGGACATTGGGATCCTGCAGCATCGTTTGCTATCCTTCTCCGATGTTTGGAAACATCTCCGTGCGATTTCGTTGGGTCGATTTAGTGTGACGAATAGGGTCTGCTTGGTGATTTGCCACGGTGATATTTAAATTGTTTGATGTATACGGCTGGTGGATGGAGTATTCGTACTGTTCTTAACATAGGTTTACGGAACGTGTCAATTTGACGCATATTGAATTTTATAAACATTACTTGGTCAAGGTTTATGTAAGTTTTGATTGAAGCAATTATACGATTATGTACTCTAGTAGTTTTTAAATCTCTAATTTTCAAGATTTAAACGAATGAACATCAATTTTTCCAGAAACAGTAGAACAATTCGTGCAAAACGTCTGTAAATCTAGTGTAACCCCTTGTAACCTTTAGAGTAACATACATATAGAATAAGCATCGACATTTTTTCTTTGTCTAATATATTAGTAACGATAAAGTAGCTGTATCGATCATAGCTAAACAATAAATCATGGAGCAAGGGGTTAATGGGAGCGTTTGATTGTAAATATTTTGAATAATTGAGTGGTCTGAGATGTTGTAAAAGGTATGACTGAGTGAAGAACTATTAAGTTGGTAAGAAATTAACATCGGTTTTCGAGTTTTCAAACACTGACGCTTGATTTTGGGATAACATTCACTTGATTCTGTTTACCTTGTAATACAATTTTACGATGCAGATGTCGCTTTACATGCTGATAAGATGTGCTTTTGTGTTTACTGTTAATTTGTGCTTACTTCGTGTCATTTCCTTAAAAATGGATAGGAAGCAAATTCGTACAATATTCTTGTATGAGTATAAACTGGGCTATAAGGCTGCGGAAGTGTTTCAACATTGGTTCAAAAAGTTTCGATCAAATCCGACGTTGGTCAATCGGAAGATCCCAATTCTTCTACACAACAATACTCGACCGCATGTCACAAAAACAACACTACAAAATTTGAACAAATTGGGTTATGAAACTCTACTTCATTCAGTATATTCCCCGGACTTGTTGCCAACCAACTACTATTTGTAAGAGAAGATGTTTATCAACCAAGCAGCTGTTGAAAATTCATTCAAAGAATTCATCAATTTTAGAACACCAGAATTTGACATTACCGGAATTAAAAAGCTGATTGTCTGTTGGCAAAAATGTGTACATTGCAATGGATCTTATTTTGATTAAAAAAGCTTATTCCGATTCGAGATATGTGGATTTAAAGATGAAGTTTAAAAACTGACATTAATTACTTACCAACCTATTTAAAGTTTTGTTTGATAATTTGGAGGGTTGTGGCAGGAAAAATTAGGCCCACAGTTATCTTTTATTCCTTACCTAATCACAATTGGGAATTCAGAGATGTTATGGTATATTGTTGTCAACTAAAATACATGTTGACACGTTGACCACTATGGTGGTCTTCGATGACCAGAGCTTCCAAAATGCTTGATGAAAATTACATGAAGATAACTGATGTCGAATCAAAATATTCAACAACATAAGTAACTAAATAATAGTGTAACTCAAGAAATATAATAGCAAACCAATAATGACCAATTCCGATATCATTTGCCTTTGTTAGGAAATAGCAAGTAATATACAAAACGCTCAGAATTCTCGTGGGAGTCAACGTGTTAATAAACGTTCCCAATATTTCATTTTGATCTTAGAAATTCAAGAACGCTTAAAAGATCACGAAAATGGTGGCTTTTTTATTGAAGTTAAGAAATGATATTATTTATATTTTCATATTAACGATATATTGTTGTAATTATTAACCTCGAATTTTAAAAAATTTTTTAATAAGGTACGTTGCAATTAAATTAAATGAAAACCAAATTTTTGAAGTTCTTCCGATACAAAAAGTAATTTATATTTTAAATTTTATTAGAAAAATATTGAGATAATAGTTATATTAATATATCAGCACTGTAAAGATATACATATGTATAATATCACTTTTTTCTGTAACAAATTTTGAGTTTTCCCATCTTCATTCGTTCCACAATCAATTATGTAATTTTTCGTTTCACATAAAAACATCAAAAGTTAAAATATTATCAAACAATAGATTAGCTTTGTATGTTTGTTAAATGAGTGTATCATTACGATTACATTTTCTAGCACAATGTACGGTACCAAATTATCATTTTCGTAATCAGATAATGGGGAAATCCATTTTACAAGATTCTAGCATAAACTTTTGCGATCGTTATGCTGATTCAGGTGTTCTCGAAGCACGTGCAAGAAAATAACAACCTCACTGAATCGTCCAAGCGAAACCAGTCTTCTTTTGAAGACAGTGTTTCTACCTCGGTTGCTTATCCTTTCCCGCTGGATACCGATATAAACTGTAGCAAGGAGAAACGGGATCTTTTTGTTGCTTCGCTTTAGTTCATACAGTTTAAACTTGTACCTGAACTACGAATTACCTTCAGGACTGTGAACGGTGCTTCACGTGTCCCCTGATAGCTATCCGAGCGTTGCTCGAAGAATCCATTTTTCTGTCCACTATCTGTTACTGATTAGGGGTGATCTATTTCCATTGCTTTCTATGTCAGCCGTGATACTCTAACCTACCTTCCTACTTTCTATTTTTCTTCCGTTATCTGATTAAGTGTAAACTTTCTCACACACTACTGTGTGTACGTTGTGTCGATGGTTGCGGTACTACATAGTCATCTAATTAATCTTCATTGGAAAGTGTTCTATTTTTGAAACGCTTAAGTACCTACCTTCGATTTCTTGAACACAGTATTTGTCCTGAGCATTTTGTACACGGTTATTCAGTTGGAAAGGATGTGATTTTGTATGAGTAAATAAATCGAAAACAAAATTATATTTTTCTATAATACATTATTTTGTATTGTGATAATATAAATATTCTATATTATAAATAAATACAATGTATAACCAATTATCTATTTCATAATTTCAAAATTTTTGTTTGGTGGTAATGTTCATCTTCTTTGTAGTAGGAAACGAAAGGTATACGTTTTTAAGCATTCACAAAGACGGTGTTTTCTTTCGTCCTCCGGGAATACAGATTGCAGAATATTATCCAATTAGTATAGAAATCAAGTGGTTGCTGTTGATCTATTTAACTGTCCAATCGAATAAGCTTCATGAATTATAAGGACTGATGCTTTACATAACTTTTACACAGCTTAAAAAATTTGTATCGGTATTCAGGTAGTTTTATACGGAATTTTTAAGACAAAACGTACTCTTTTATCTACATTTTTTTTGTTTTTCTACATAGTAATCACATTTTTGTATAATTCTGGCAACATAGCACACAAAATTTTAATAGATTTGCGTCGAACATACACGTTAGAGTAAATGTACCACGAATTCACAATGAGTCATCTGTAGTCACGACATCGGCCACTAAGGTATACAGCTTTACCCCCTCTTTATTATGACGTCACACCTTCCGTTAGATCAATTAAAAATCAAATTATATTTAAACAAACACAATTTATACAAATTACATTATATAAACTAAACAATAATTAAAACAATACATTTCATTTATTCATCCAAACATTTCATAGTTATTCAATTATTTAAAATAAGTATTGCAAACTAGGTTCATTATAAATAATATTCCTCCTGAGTGATCATAATTCTACCCTGTCTTTTTAGCCTTCTAATTCCACACACCTATATAGAATTAGTATGCAACACGCTTATTTTTCTACTAACAGTACGATAAGACATACAATCTCGACAAATCGAGCGTTAAAGCCAGAACCTTACACAAACGGAGAAGTAGCGTTAAGCGCGATACGAATAATTAACTGCAACGTTAAGAATCCTCTTACAATCGGGGTCTGAAAAACTCTTCTTTCATTCCAGGTCTAGAAGCGGAATTGTTTTACGTGAGAGAGGGCGTCATCAACGAGTACGCAATTAAATTTGTCGTCCCAGTGCCAGCGCAGGTTCACAAGCTGCATTTCACTTGGGAAAATCTCGCCGGCAGGCCGGTAAGTTTTACAAAGATACATGACCTTTCGCAAAGGGGTTTCCTGTCCCGATGCGAATCCACAGAGGGAAAACCCGGCGGGTAGGCTGAAACGCCGCGAGAGACTTTGAGAACCGTAAGAAAACGGGGAACGGTAATGGAAAGAGGCACCGTCGCCTCTTGAAGCGTCGCGACACCGTCCTCCCGCGCACTTTATTCCTCATTTACGTTTCTTTGATTCCTTGCCCTGCTGGATCAAAGTCGCCTAGGCTCGAAGGAAAGGTGAATTCGCTCGTTAATGAAGGAATCCGCGTCTTCGCGCGATCTCGCATCCGAGAGGAAACCTTTGCCGGATGAATCCTCTTCCGAGAGCGCACTTCAGCCTTTAACCTGTTAACTGTAGAACTTACAAGGGAACTTTTTTAATCAGCACACGCCGATTTTGATGAAACTTGTGTGAGACATAGTTCTTAAGAAACTATTTCACACGTATTTTTTTTTTATCGGCCAACATCCACTTTGAACGAGTGAAAACACCTCGCAAACTAGAGGAATAAAAATATATTTTTTACAATGTCTCTGAAACTACGGGGCGCAGAAAAGAAATCTAAAGCTTTAAGATGACGTGTATACTCGTCAAACGCAGTTCACACTGAAATCACTGAGCAGTTAAATTGACTTTTTGAAATTCCTCTACAGAAACCCCAATAGTGCATCCATTAAGACTTTAATTGGTTGACAATTCACTTTGCGTATTGCTAAATCAATGTCTTTAATCATTTATCACAGAAACATCTATTATCTTTTTTATAATTGCAAAAAGAAGCATGTGTCATTTTAACCCTCTGGTAGTTTTAGTATTAACTGATAAACAGACACAGCAACCGTTCGGAACCTCTTCCCCGATCCTTATTCTCGGTTCCCTTCCTCGTCCTTCCGAGACGTACTTACCCGGATTATCGACGCATGTCGGTCTTCTCCGTTTCTCCGATTCCCGGCACGAACCGCTGCTGCCGGTGCATCACACCCCTTGATATTCGACGATCGACGCGACGGGGATAATGCGAGGAGCGGCTTTTCCTTCGACGACGATAGTTGAACGTTCGCCGGGATTGTTTGAAACTTTGCTGGTCCGAGCTGGTCTCGAGAGATTTTTTAATATTCCGTCTGAGGACCTCCGGCGATTTATTAACCCAGTTCCAAGGTTCCCGGGTTAATATCCTGCCCCGTAATAACTACGATATTTAGAATGAATGAGGGAATCTTTTATGAGGGCCAGATACCTAGGCAAATAGCATGAGATACTGGGGCAATTTTGTCTGGAGCATAAAGTTTTCTCGTAATAAGGTATTCATTATGGTCTATTAATAAATCCTGTGATGGTTGGTTTAAAACAGAAAAATTGGAAAAATTTCAATTATTGGATATTTAGGTATTTTATGAACATTCGATTACACAAGAAATATATTTGCGCTACAAGTATCGAACAAACAAATACATCTCCCTTGAAAATAATTATAAAATTCGATTTGCTCGTGTGCGTACTGAAATATAAATCAACAAAAAACTACTGTAAGTACATTTTTCTAAAAGTATCTACTTGTAGCGTTGATCGTTAGAGAAGTATGTATTGCACAATGAGTCATCAGTTTGTGCCGAGAGAATAATTTTTGCCAGAACAGCGGCCTCGTTGACGATGAAGGTACGCTGACAAAGTGGCGGCGAAAAGTGGGTAGAATGCGGCACGGTGTCGGATTGACTCGTCGACGATGTGCAGAAAAAAAGGAACGGATCCGAGAGTAGGACAAAGTGGTCCAGCCACTTCTTCGAGCTGTCTCATTGGAAGAAAGAGGAGGAAAGGGAGACAGAAAGTTGAAGACTGATGACCAACGTCGAGACATCCGTCACCTTCGCGACAAAACCGAGTGTCCTGAACGTTACTTAGGCGGACGAGGGCTACCTGCCAATCAAACTGACGACTTTTCAGTTATGCGAACTGCTCCTCGGGACAAATTTGTTGCATACTTTCTGAATTGGCATCTACAGAGTTTTGCTCGACGTATATTTAAGCGATCGAAGGATACTTTTTCGAAACGAGGATGCGGAATATAAACAGTGATTATTCTAATATGTATATTATTAAATATTGTGATAATTTAAAGTACCTAAATTTTTTAGATATTTGTTGTAGATACAAACTAAATTATAGCAAATTTCGGAGTGTTATAAAATATATGTATTTGAAAAAGAAATTGAAATATACTTATAATGCGAAAAATATTGTATGGAATTATTTTAAAATTATGGTAAGCTATGTTTTATTTATAGAGTTTGAAAAATATTATTATAAACTTGTTCGCGGCTAATAATTATAATACACGATATTTAATAATCAATTTAATATATTAATTTATATTTAGGTTATTGCAGTAATTATAAATCTGAATGATGAGGACTTAGAAAGTATAAAATAGCTTAGAACTACACCAACTCAGACCAGTTGTAGATTTTAGGTAGATTAGATAAATATTTATTTATTTAGGCTTGAAATATAGTTTGATGCGATAGGATAGCAGTGAAAAGTTGTTTTCGTCGAACTTCACAAAACAACGACCGATACAAGAAGAAAGTAGCACTTTGCCCCTGACAAATTGTAGTTTTAGACATTTGAACAGGTTTTTTTATATTTTTAAATAATGCATATATTTTAAAACAATAAAAAGAAGCTATAAATTGCTTATTAAATATTCAAAACATAAAAATGGTTCTTTACGAAAAAGCAAATTCAAACTGAAAAGTACCATTTTTTCATTTAAACTCACTTTTTCAAGAAAATTAAATTTGAAAATTTATCAAATACATCTATGTTCAGCTGACTGCCGAAGAAACATGTTCAAAATCTGGCCTCAAATAAAAAACTGTTTTCACTGCATTTCTAATTTATATTTTTATAGAATCACACTCTTTCCAGTTATTCCAATTCCAATAACACAAAATTCATTTGCTTCTAAAATATATTCATAAACAATCAAATTAATTCGTGAATAACTACCACCACGTTTATAAATAACCACAAGTTACAGGACACCACGTACATGAACTCAATTTCGAGAACCAATTCAGCATGAAAACGCAGAAAAACCTAATAACCATTATATCCGAGTAGCTTCAGCGCGGGTCCGAAGGTATCTAACTTCCATTTCCAGTATTAAGAGGTGCATACAAATCATAATCCAAACGGTGTCCCGAGATACATCTCGTTTTCTCGTACGCGCGCGTAGTGGTGTGTAACCGACCCAAGGACTTCTTATCGATAATGTTTTTCATAAATTCTACGGTGATAGTCGTTTTCGCGCAATCTGTCCATAAACATCCACGCACACCTCCATCCCCGGACCAGTTCCTCGCGAAATCCCCGAGCGTTACGAGGGAGTCAGAAAAAAACATCGTAAAAATCCTTGACAGTTTAAATCGAACGGTTAGCCGGTTTACAGAGGCATTCACTGTCAGCACGTAGTTGGCTGCTCGCGGCCATAAAAGACCGCAACGCGGAGCACCGTGGAGGAGCCGGAGTAACGTGTAGCGACAAGCGGCCGAGTTGACGAGGTGCCTTCTCCGCGGCTAGTTGGGAACCGATCATCATTGCGAGCTGGTAATCAGCCACGAGCTCACCAGCTTCAGCTCCCCCTTTCCCTTGTCTAGCCTCTGCTCCTTCTCCCAGCGAATCCCTCGGCTCTTTCTTCTCGGCTTGTTCTCCTCTTTTCCGTCCGTTTCTCTTCTCGCCACTTCCTTTTCGTCCCCTTTTCCTTGGGGCTTCCTTCGCCCGCGGGTCCTGCGGATTCACTTTGCTCTCCGTTGGGCGCAAATTGTCTTCCAAGAATGGTACGTTTCAGATTATAAGAAGGTTCAACGTTCGCGTGATTACGAGCGAGCAGTAGCAAACTCGTCTCTTACATCCTTCGACTTTGTTCCATTTGCTCTTCGCCCGTTCAACGCGGTCTTAACGAAATATCCTCTCCGCCGTCACCGATCGTTCGCCTCTCTTCGCGTTCCCCTTTTGTTCCCTTCGTTCGTATCCCGTTTCTATGTAGATCAGCCGTTTCTAGTGATTTGCATCTCTGGGATCTTTTTGTGCGGCTGCGGAGATCGCGTTTATTTCGTTCGGAACGATCTCCACGCGGAAATGTGCTTTGGCTCCTTTTCGTTCGAAACCTTCGAGATCAAAAGTCTGTCGGGGCGGGGAACGATCTTTGTGCTTCTTCCATCTCGCGGTTAATGACGACGCTTGGGATGTTTGCTGTTCCTTCTTTGAATAGGACAGTAATTTTGCTTTAGTATGCATATTATGGTTTGACGAACAATGGATCTACGTTTTCTTTGTTGCTTTTATGTATGTATGTATGTTGGTGGATGAATGAAAGTTTAAGCAAACGATACAAAAATATAATTTCATAATATATGTGAATTATAGTTTACAATAGTAATGTATTCCTCATATTTATATGAGGATAATATATATCTTATACGGTAAGGGGTAATGGAAAGAGAAAGGGTGTGCATAGGAATAGGAATGAATGTGATCTATTTTAAACAATTGATTAATTATCCTGTTGAGCGTGGTATTTAGATTAAAAAATCATATATATCTATAATATATTTTAATAAAACACGAAAGCACAACGAAAAATTACATGTATATCTGAAAAAATAAATAATACATCGTTGGAAGAATTAGTATTATTGTGAGTTTCAAAATGACGTGTATACTCGTCGAAGGTAGTTAACTGGTTAAAGGAATTATTTGAATAAAAGTAACGATATAATTGTATGATTATGTTTGCAACTTGTTCTTATTATACCATTTCTCAAGATTACTAGAAATGCTGTAGACTTACCATGATACTATATAAAATATTTTAGAAACTCTTAATAGGATATAAGAAGGTATCGTAGCAATACTTGTTTTGCAATTATTTTATTGTTGTAATATTATTTATTGTCTTATTACAGTAACATACACACTTAAAACTCATTTTTTTCAAGAACAGAGGACCCCGTTTTCGTTTTTTGTCAATTCGAATTTTTATTTAGTAGTTCATTTTTTCCTACTCAAGTATCAAATTCATCTATATTTCTCAATACAGCCAATCAAAAACAGAAAAAGAAAATCTATGTGTTTGTAAATTCCAAATAATGGGGCGATCTTAGTCACTAAAACAAAATGTACAGAGGGCAAAATGAATGATGTAGAACTTGTTCTTGATCTTCTGGAGTCTTATTGCTGACTACAAAGAATGAAGAAGTTGATACAGGAATGCACAGAAATTTGAAAATAATTAGAGACTCCTCGTATTGTACTATAGATTTCTTCGATGTACCCTAAAACTTTTGCCAATGAAATCTATTGAGGAATATTTTGAAAATCGCCTTGCATTATTTATGTTTTGACTCTATAACAGTGTCATATCGGGAAACTATCTGAAAATGAATGTGTTCAATCAACGTTCTCTAAAATGTATTGTTTCGAGAAGAGGATTAATGAGGATGATGGTTACTTTGCATTTCCAGTTGCCTTATTCAATGTCGGTGGACATCAACAATCCAACAGCTTTGAGCAGTTCCCTGAACATATCTCTAATCGGTGAAATCCCGGTGGGTGGTCTTCAGACCTGGGCTTTGACGTTGCATTGCGGCCCATACGACGCGGAAGTCGATCTAAGCCTTCGAATAAATGTCTCTTTATCGAGACGAAACACGACCAGCTTAGACTTCAGACGGAAGAAAATCTGTTTGAAGGATAAAAGCAACGTAGGAGTAGAAGAAGTTCTCGTTGCTGCTTCTGGATCCACTTCCGGCGGACAAGTGTTCTATGCTGTCGTTGGCTGCGTCTGTGCCTTTATCGCCGCCATTTTTGTTCTGGTTACTGCCTACTACGTCCGTGATAAAAAAACCAGAAGGCATCGTGACCCTCTTCAGTAAGTCATCTTATCTTAATTCACTTATTCCGTAATTACTGTCGCATGGACGATACGAACATCTTACTTCGTTAATTAACTGATGAATGTAAGGATTCATTCGATAGAAATTGTATTAATGGAAGATAACCCGGAGGAAGATTATTTTTAGTTTCTATATATATGTATGTATGTATGTATGTATGTATTGGTATATATGTATGTATGTACGTATGTAATTTAGAATTTTTTTACTTTATCTTTAGATTTCGGATCTGATTGGTGGGAACAATTTTAGATTGAACTTTATAAATATGGATATTATTTAGTTCGTATCAGTTAAAAAATGGTATAATTACTTTTACGATAACTTTGTTTTTGTAATGACCGTAGCAATTTTTTATGCTAGAAAACTTTTAATGATAAAGTAATTTCTGTGAACCGAATCAGGAGAAAAATTATAAAAGACTACTTTCTCCTTCTCGACCACTAAGGAATCCAAAATAGTCTTCTCTTCCTATATAACATATTGTAAAATTGTATAATTACGTTTTTTAATTTAAACAAAATTCAATTTACCAATACATATAGGTATTTTTTATTTCTTATTCTGAAAATAAATCGTATAGCACAGATCAAAATTTTAAGAAAAAATTAGTTTTATATTTTTCACATACATATTTATATTGCGTATTGTTACTGAATGATTTTATGTTGAAGAAGATCATTATAGATGTATTCTTCTTACTTTTACAGAGAATCAAGGGGTCTCAGTTCCGCGTGTAGCGTGGAACGTAGCACTGGCGTTGGACCAGCACAAACATTTTTGTCTTCTGAAACACCTCCTCCAGCGTCTGCTACATCCACGTCTACTTATAGAAGATTAGACGATCGACCTAGCCGAGAACTGCACGAAAGAATCCAAGAAATCACAGTTCAGAGGTAATGAAATTTTTATTACAGCTGTGTCAATTTTTTTGTACGCATATAGTTAGCGGTTAATTTAATATTTAAATAATCACATATTATCTTTAGCTTTTTTCTATGACTAATCTTCTCATTTAAAAATGAAATATGAATAAAGACAACATAAAAAACATTGTTTTACTAAAGTTAATAATAATTGCTATTACCAATATTTAAAAAATTAAATTTAGTGACTTTTCTCTAATGTTTCAAAATAGTTAGTAATTGAGATAATTCGAGGTCATGTAATGGGAACTGCCCATCAGATATTTATTAACTTACTATAATATTACTTTAAATTGTATGTAATCAATATAAAAAAAACATTTAATATTTTCTTGCTAACAACACGTTAAAAACGGTGTATTTAATGAATAAAATTCTTATGAAATATGGAACTATAAATTAAATAATAGTTTTATTGAGTATTCGTGACGATGATGGCTTGACATGGTTTGTAGACCGATATAGACATCTAGCATCTTGAGTTTCATGACTCCGACAATTTTTCTTTTTATGCTTCGAGAGGCTTTGCTGAACGCCTGGCTCACGTTTTTAGGTTAAGTAGATGGTCTCAGAAGCTGAGAAAAAATCTTGATATCCCACAGCTTTAAGTGCAGAGAAGGTGGTGACGAAATTGTTCAGGTATCGATCGGCAACGGAATTTTAAACGTACGTTATTTGCTTGCAGAGAAAGATTTTTAAAATGGTTTTAATTTCTCTTCGAATAATTTATTACTATCATCGTGCAAAACATTTTTGTATATTTATGTTGACGTACGAGAAATTTATAATTTAGTTATTCGAGGATTGGTGTAATTGTTTATGTTATTCATTTTTATTTTTCACACCAATGTCAGAATTATTATGAAAACTCAAACGATCAAAGATGGGTAAGAAAGATATAATATATGAAGGAGATATACATAAATTTTCAATTTAGAATACTTGTCTTAAAAGTAAAATACATTCATTTTAAACCATTTCACATCTATTATATTACAAATGTATAAATATATAAAATATGTAAATATATGAATGTCATCCGTAAAAGTGTTTAAAGTACTACTTACATATTCCCGAATTAAACAGTATTTTGTTATATTTTCTCTGCATAAGATATAAAAACTCGTTAAGATAAAAATTCTACAAAACACCCCAAAGTAGTTGCAAGAAAAACGTTTGAATTGTATATCCAACAAGAAAAAAAATAGTAACAAGCTTATATATTGACACATCTGCAATTAATTTCCATTGGAAACGAAAGTTTCAGAAGAATTCAATTTAGAGTAAACACTTGAAACGAATGTAATCGCCTCAGTAGTTTATCGATTGATTTCTATACTGGAAGTTCAATAAAATTTCTGCGTTATTTTAAAAAATTCCTTACTCGCTTATTTCGTTCGAGTATGTTTCGATACCAGGCTCGTTTCCATTTCAGTAATTAGACGATCAACCGAACCTTTAGTAATTTCAGACGAGCGGATTCCAACGTTTGTACAGAATAATTATCGGTTACGCCAATACTGAAAGTCACGAATCTTGAAGCAATCTTGTTTCGCACTTGTTACAGATGCAGGGTACGCCTTCTCAGCATTGAAATGGAAGGCACATTCGGTCGCGTGTACAGAGGCAGTTATCACGAGGAGGGCGCGTCTACCCCGAGGGATGTCCTAGTGAAAACTGCCGCTGAACATGCATCACAATCGCAAGTGAGTAATTTTTTTCTTCCCCGTCCCAATTAAGTTTCGTCGAAAGCCGGCTAATTAATTTACCACACGTTTTCCCGGAATTGACTCGCAATTAGGCCCTCGTTATATAGTACCTCCTAATTACACACGCTTACTACTTCCTATACGAGGGCAGATTCTGATAATTGGAATTGTGATACACTTTGTAGCCTGTTGTAAAGCGCACGGGAGCGATTTTATAGAATTTAATGGTATTATTACTTTATTGAGACCTGCGATTACAAGGGTAATAACATAACTGCTAATTGTACGTGGGCAAAACGTAATTAGAAGACTTACTTTTAAATAAATCGATTTTTCTATGTTCACGTACAGTTTATATGTTGAAACTGTCCACTATACTATACATTTTATTACAATGTTAACATAAATTGACTGAAATCGTTTATATTGATTTTAGTAACATTTTCTTTTTTGTCGAATTGAATATTATTTTAATCCAATCTTCAAATATTTGAAATACAGTATGACACTAATAATGTAAAAAATTATAATTTAATATTATTAATCCATATCCAACGGTTTTTTAGTTTTGATAACCTATTCATTATTTTTAAAATTTTGTTACATATTTGTAATTGTTTTTCTTAGAATCCATTTTGTATAATTTAGCACTATATAAATAATAAAAAATATAATACATTTATACAGTTCAATTATAGAACTTATCTATATAGCACAAGAAATCTACTTCATTTTTTCTAATATTTGGAATAATAACTACACATGAACTTTAAAATAAGCCTAAGTATCCTATGTTTATTATTCCGGAAATAGTATAATAGGATATACAATCAATGTTCATGAGTTAATTAACGAAATTAAAACGTTAATATCTCTTTTAATCTGAACAATTAATACATAGATTTTAATTAATCGAAAAGAAAGTGCAAAGTCCCTTTTACGACTGTAATAGTTGAGACTTGAAGAAGTAAACCTATACGCACAGAAACTCCCGGAAAATAGACAAGACCCAACAAAATTATTTAGAACAGTAGTTGGACTAGGTTGACACACGAACATCTATCCAAAGGACCTAGTCCACACACCAGTGTGACACGTGCAACAAAAGATTAACCACGAAACACTTATTAACCAGTTAACAACTGCGTTTGACGAGTATACACGTGATCTTAAAGTTTTAAATGATACTAATTCTCGATGAATTATCTTTTTTCAAATAAACATGTAATGTTTATTTGAAATTTTGTAATTCTTCATTTCGCTGTAGTTTTTCGTTAGAATACATTACAGGTGCATTTGACCTGGGTTTGACGAGTATACACTGTATTATTTCATTTTATTGCGTGCGCAATGAGGGATTTTTCAAACTAAACTCCACAGTTAACTGGTTAATAGAAAATACGAAAATGCAAACTTATTGCAGCAAGGTCGAAGTACCAAACCAAACACAACAAATCTTCAAGTCACAGGACAATAAAAGCAATCTGATAGAATTCCTTAAAACAGCGTAGAAGGAACTGTAACAACTAGAGTAGCATGTCGCTAAAAATCGAGAAGTCGATGCGGCGTTAAATAACGAAATAAAAAGAAAAAGATGAGACTTGAAATGAGACACGGTCTGTCACTTTCCTAACAAGTTCTTCATTTCTGTTTCTTAAGGTCGCCCTCCTCTTGCGCGAAGGTTTAGCATTATACGGTCTAAGTCACCCGGTGCTACTCCCCGTTTTGGGTGTCTCGATCGAGGACAGAAGCGCGCCTTTCCTTTTGTATCCGCACACCGGCTACAAGAACATGAAGAGGTTCTTGCTGAGGTGCAAGTTGAGCAGCGAGGGGCCACCGAGAGCTCTCACCACGCAAGAAGTCGTCGAAATGGCCCTTCAAGCAGCCAAAGGAGTCCAGTATCTGCACAGAAAGAGGCTGGTGCACAGAGATCTAGCTGCTAGAAATTGCGTGTAAGTAAAACGCCGGATTATCATAAATGCGACAGTTCGCGTGCAACATAAACAATTTTACTCCATGGCTCTCGAAGCGAAAGGAACGGCGTCCCCTCGTTTTTGCGATCGGTACGAAAGCTCTGTTTTAACTGGGCTTTGTTTACGACTTTTATGCGCGAGGTAAGAAGTTTCCTTTGAAGGATAAGCATACGCTGTATCGAATAATTCACTCGAGGCGCCGTAAACTTAAGGTCGTTACGTTTCGTTACGGAATTAATTGGCCGTGCGGCATTAATTAGCAATAAATACACTGACTCGAGACTGTTTAATTACCGGCTGCTACTGTTTCGCCCTACGGGGATGACTTTTAATGCGGCTTGAGGCAGCTACTTTTTACACGACTTTTTTCTGTATTACCACGCGAGCCAGTCGACAAATTTAACTTGGACCTCGCCCGATTCGCTGCGTTACTCGTGCCTCTCGTCTCCTTTAACGTTTATATCAGAAACGGGAGCGGCTTAAGAGTGTTTAACGATCGATCTTACTTTTTTTTTTCTTTTTTTTCCTTTTTAGCGTCGACGATGATTTAAGGGTCCAAATCACGGACAATGCCTTAGCCAGGGATCTGTTCCCGCAGGATTATCATTGTCTCGGCGACAACGAGAATCGGCCGATCAAGTGGCTTGCCATAGAGAGTTTACTGAATAAGACGTTCAGTACTGCTTCCGATGTGGTGAGTTAAATTTAATTGCGTATTAAAATTCAATTTTTCAATTTTCTAATAAGACTAGATTTACGGACATTTACCGTACAGTTTGTTCTATCATTCCCAGAGAAATTGATATTTTTGTTCATTTTGATCTGGAAATTCGAGGTTTAAAGGTAAACAATTAAGGCACATGTTTGCATGACTGCATAAACCACAATCGACCCATGCATTTACCAAATAATTTTTATAAAATTCAATGAGTCAAATTGACTCATTTAAAAAATCTAATGTTGACTGCTGTTCTATTTTAACGAATTTTTCAAAATTATCTATCTAGATTACTGATATTACGCATTTGTTAAAGTCACAATAATGTGTAGTACAACAGAGCTTTATACAATTTAATGAGATTTTTAATGTTATTCGGACTTCAATAATATCTTCAACGGAAGAACCAACTTATCACTTAATTTTATTGTCTGTAAATTTATCTGTAAAAATCTATATTTACTCAAAGATCTGTTACATATGGACATAAAGCTTTTTTTAAGAATTACGAAGGTTCTTCATAAATTATTGCACTTTAGTTATATGAAATTTGATTTTGCAAGTCTCCTTGTATATATTATATCAAAAATGTAATTCGGTATTGCTAATGAAAATAAGACTTAATACCATTTTATTCACAGTACTGTTCATTTTGTAACGTCTATACGTGTCATTATTAATTCAAAGGCATTGCAAGCACATTTTTTTACAATAAAGATTCAATCTTCTTCGGGTTACTAATCGGTATCAATTCATATACACTAATTGAAAGAGTACTAATATCTACAAGAATAAAAGAGATAATAAAGCTAGAATGTTCGTATAAATTAATAGAATTTTTATTTTGTATACACTCATAAATTCTTTATGTTATCTAAGTTATTCGATTAACATTTTATTACATGAGGTAATAAATGACTTGTATAGATTTAAAAACTGCTTATAAATTTAAATTCATTTTAAATTGATTGTATACAATAAAAAAATGATATTATAAACAGCATACTTTTACTATTTTTTTAGTGGGCATTCGGAGTCTTGTTATGGGAACTCACGACACTGGCACAACAACCATACGTGGAAGTGGATGCATTTGAAATGGCTTCGTATCTTAGGGACGGGTACAGATTAGCACAGCCAATCAACTGTCCGGATGAATTGTTTGCTGTCATGGCATATTGCTGGGCGATGTCCGCGGACGAGAGGCCGACGTTTAGCCAATTGATCGTCTGCCTTCAAGATTTCCACACTCAGTTGACCAGATACGTTTAATAGACAAATTTGGAACGTAAAATCGATTTAACTTCTATCGAAAATTTCCCCTTTCCAATCATTTCTGCGATAATAGACAAAGGAAATGAATACATACATCGGAAGCACTTGTACATAATAATAGTACTTAAAAAGCAATTTTAAGGTAGCGCGGAGAATTGAGTGAACATTCGCGATAGAAACGTGGCTTTATATGTAGTATTTCAAAAAGAAAATTATAGTTTACACGAGTACTGTCCAAAATCGATTCACTAGCAACTTAATACATTGTCTACCGGAAGTCTATTAATAAGTTCCTCGATGTCTACATTGAAAAGAATCTAAATAGTTTTCTTTCAAATAATTTCAAGAAAATTATTTGCTCCTTATGTTATTTGGGACGAAAAATCGATTGAACGATCCTTAGTTCCTAATCTTTGATCCTTAAAGGATTATTGAACATTTACCGGTAGGTAAGGTGTTAAAATTTCTTTATTTTGCTTCTATTATTAAAGAAACAAAAATACTAAACATAATATCGTTAACTGCCATATACACCAAACGAGTTCTTTAGATCTGTGCCTATTTATCATTGCTGCTGTTTGTTAGCAATCGTGCATAAAGGGAGTGAGTACCACCTAAGGACAGTACTGGTGAATGCACACTCGTATAGTTTGACCGACTGAATGTAAGACTGCAATACGCATGCGCAACGCAATTCTTGCCAACCGAACATGCCTATTAACTCTCTTCCTACTATATTGTGGTGAATTACTAATCGTAAGTAGTCATGACAAAGAGAGTCGAATTGAATAAAATTGATAATAATATTATATTATCATATATGATATTTTCGTTCGGCTTGGTATTTGTATTGGTGCCTCCTAGTAGTTCCACACTGAGTCGGCCGAACTGTGTATTGTGATTACAGGAATAGGATAAAAGTAATAGAAATTCGATTAAATTAAGCAGATTAAGCGAATTGAAAGTAACAGAACGATGTCCCCGAACTTCGATGCTTACGTTGGTTAGCATTGCTTTAAAAAGAGTAAGAAATGTTGCAATAAATATTTTTCTTTCCAAGATTTTTTATGACAAGACACTCAACTTGCAAGTGACATTCAGGATATATTAACACATTTTGTTTTCGGTATAGTATTGTAGATATTAAAAGTGTGTAAGTATATCTAGAATACAGTAGTTGATGTCTTGTCTAAAAGAAGCCCAAAATTAGCACTGAGAACTTGTCTGTACGACATCGAGTAGATAAAAATGTATAATTGCGTGTAATTTTTATATTAGCTAACGGCAAAGAGTAATTGTAGAAACTGACACGTATATATTGTTTTCTGTTTAAGTATTAAGACTGAATTGAATGTTCACTAAGTGATACACGTTCAATTAACAAAATACAGTAGTACTCTGTCCTTATACTTTAATGAGTGCTACATCTTCTGATATTGCACTGCATTCATAAACTTTTTATTAGAATTATTGCAGGGGCATGATTGCTTTTCTAAAGATAAGTCACAGATGCGGGAAAAAATTTATTATACGAGAGGTTATGTTTCCAAGAAAATCGATTTAAAAAATTTACTGATTAGAAAAAGAAGAAAAAGGTATTCTTTTTTTTATCTGATTAATAGTAATATACACAAAGGTAAACCTGTTTGTACTTTTTTCACAATTCTAATTTAAATACGCATTCTTTTATTTTTGTTATGAGTAAATTAAACAAACTCTAACTCTCCATCTAAATCTCCATTAATCTTTTAGTAAATCTTCGTTTAATTAACTAAGAATGGGAAAAGGTTACAATCATAGTTTGTGTAGAGAATTATGCTAAGAAATTCTAAATGAATTAATTGAACAATGCACATGTATTCGAAAACTTTGAGAAACCGATTTTCTTTGAAACGATCTTTTGTGTAACAAGTTAGAGAATGTTTCTAATCGATGAACTAAATCTTCATAAGATTAGTTCTGGGATGAACAAAACCAGTTGCGTGCGATTAAACTGATAAAATTTAGATCAGTTTGTATAATCCTTAAACATTTATATGCTTTCCTAATTTATTCAACCTTATAGTCACATAAAAACTACAGCTTATAGAAACGATAAACTTATAAACAGTTTCAATCCACTAATTGTTGCTGGCTGTGTAAGCCTGTAAAAAAAACTTGCCGAAAAATGACCGAGCCAAAGTTTTCCCACTAAGAGGAATCTTTTAGAGATTTATATTTCAAATTTATTTTCGGTGAATCAACTCTTCCTCCGGTTGTGTCACACAATCAGCTGCGTCAAATCAAAGTATAATTTTGGTTCCCAATACCAATAGAGGTATCTTATATCTTATCTATCCTTATCTGAACGCTATGTTCCGAACGAGTTCGAACAAATGGAATTGTACAATTTCGTCACGTTGATCGCCGAATAATTCCAACAGGAAACTGCCAAACTTCGTCGTCGTGAACTGCCAATTTCGTACTCAGGAAGCTGTGTAATTGGTCAGAAACCTGTACAACAGTTTCGAATGATGTGATACGCATTTCGCTTGTCACATCAGTGTATCGAGTGTGCCAATATCCTTTTTTGTATTTTTGTACATATTTATCCATAGATGTACGTATAAGCGTTAGTTTTAAAGAATAGGTGCTGCGGTATGCCAAGTCAGAAAGATTCGTGTACATAATGAGAAACATGTCGACGCGAAAATCGATATAATGTACAAACCGCGGGCGTTACGGGCACAATAAAGCGATTGATATATTATTTCGTTGTTCGCTATTTTCTCCCACCGATAAATTCGTTCAAACCTTCTCTTCATTCTTATTTCCATGAATCCCCCCGCAATTCCGTTCGACCAGCTATTTTTGGCGATTCTTCCAGCGTGGCTGGAGCAACACAAACCCAACCATCATTGCACGCGAGCTGGTGGTGGGGGGATGAAAGAGTTTTTGTTTTCTCAGAAATCGTTCATCAAACTGTGAGATATCGTCTCGTAAACGACTCCTGTAATTCGTGCTGCCTGCACCGGGAATGTCGGGCGACAAAATTAATGGCGCCTTCCTGACGTCTTGTTTAAAATGACGGATGAGTCCGTGCCTAATTTTCTGGTGTCTCTTCTTGACTCTGTTTCGCGTGTAATTGGATACACCAATGACAAAAGAGCTGTAAAGGTGTCTCTAAATTATTTCCCTAACGAGGACGAGCATATTCTATTCGAAACTAAAATGAAAACAGCAACTTGAAATACGGTGTCCAAGTCTTGATTGTTTAGTTAACAAGTTGAATGCCGCACGATTTCATAGAGCAAAGCACACAAAATGGAAGAAATATAATATTAAATTATTCGATTGTATTGCGTTATTATTATTGCACGTTCATCTAGCCAAATGTCATCGCATTAGGTAGCATTATTTATAATACAGAAATATTTTCAAATACGCGTCGTTTAATTAAGTGAGCTATAGTAATTCGATTTAGTCGGGGGTTACCGGTGACTCCCATGGCATTCAACGTGTTAAACTAAACATCAACAGTGTTTGTATGTTAATCATATTATGAAGTCAGCATTAGAATGGATATCTTGTAAATTATTTAGCATTTTTATATTATTTTGAACAATTTTTTGAATGCTAAATAAATGATTTCAAACTATACACACCTCCATTATAAATATTTTTACATGTGTTTAGTGAAAATTGCTATTGCAAAAGTAATATCAAAAAATTTGTTTAAGGCAATTATGTAGGTATATTAGTAAATTATTTTTTACCATACGATTAAGTAAATTGACATTTTTTTATACAAGGCAATTACCTCATAAACTGTATTGAAGTAATCAACAAATTTATTCATTATTAAAAGTGAATATGACTATGAAATTGTTTAAACGATAAACAAATTTTTTACATTTGATATACATATAACTTACATTTAATGTGATACTATATATTAACATATACGTAATATCACAGTTTACAAAAATTCAAAAGTTTGTTTGTAATGAGTACAAATTTTTATGTAATTACGTAAGTGTCGAAATTATATGAATCATAGAAGAGGTATTTTTCATATCTATGAAAAATAATTTTAGATAAGTTTAAAAATCAATTAAACTTTCCTAAAATCAGGATTAAAATCTTTACTAACGGTTTTTGCTAATAGACATTTGCTTAAACAGAAATCATTTTTAGCCATTTTATTTGAATATTTGGAGGTACTTTCTGACATCGAATGTAAAATGTGAGAACAAGTATGAGGAACAATTTATTGTAGAGTATATATTATAGAGAAAGAGAAAATATATGAGATGATGTGTTTTTTTTACATGTTCATTTTACATATTCTTTTGATTTCGGTAAAATATAAATGAGATTAGACATGGTACATTAAACAACTCCATTGTCTACAGTCCATCAACAGTAAATGCGCCTGGAAGCCAGGAACACCGTTAATTCTTGGGAATTAGGTATGTGAATTAATTAAGCTCGAAAAGTATGTGAGTAACAGCAGATTGGTTACATAAATTTTGCACATGTATATGAAACTAAATTTGGATATAATTTCAAAAATTCCTTACTATGTTTAAACGTATCAATACTTATAAAATTTAATTTTGAAAATTTCGTTTTAAATAAACAACAATTATGTGAAAAATTTACACTTTCACATACAATTGCATAAAAACTACATTTCTTTGATTTATATTTTTATTATGTAAAAGTTAAAATGATTTTGAGTTTTTGAATGAATTTTGCTTTTTTTTATTTTAATCGTTCATTCTATAAGTGTCGCAACATTTATAATTGATTATTTTTAGCTGTGTGCTGATTTTCATAATACATATCATTTTACATATCTATGTACAGTATATTACAGGAAAGATGGCATTCGAAACGGCACCATATCATATTTCTCCTACTTGCATAACATGTATATGTATAAAACATTATACATACATTATTATACCTATATATAATATAAGTAGTGATATTTTTAAGATTTAAATGTAAACAAATTTATCTACAGTACTTACATAATGCATAAACATAATTAACAATTATTTAATTTTACATAGTTTCATGCATACGGTACTTTGCTAATTAATTCAAAATATTTTGGTTTTGATAAAGACAATAATTCACTTTCTACTGTTACAAGTTTCACTATATTTATTATTTGTATTCTACCTCCATTGTAAAAAAGTATTTGATGAATTATTATCAATAATTGTCAATGCGTCATTTGCAATTCTTTGTATTTATTTTATTAAGTGGTTTATTTCTTTGTTGAATGACAATATTGTGACAATCTTCTAATGCGACATTAGAGGATTTACGTAACATGATTTCTTCCAATTGGCAGATAATTCTCTGTAACAGAGAGTCCTTCTGTAATTACATGGTTATTCTTCGAACGACAACTTAAAAGTGTAAGTTCTACTACAATATACAAAAGACAACACACAGTGGAAAATCATTATTGTTAACTATGAAACGAGAAATAATTTTCATAGAAAAAGAAACATTTATTCTTCACGATAATTGTATTTGGTTAAAAAATATGTTAGATTGATAGTTCACGCTTTTAATAAATGTAATGTTCTTATAATTATTTTTGATATTTTTGTAATTTCTAAAATAACGTTCTTAATTTTCAGAAATTGTAAAGTATAAATATTTTATAACAAACTAGTAAATAATCTTAATTTATTAAAATTGTCATGTAAAATTATTTTGCTATTATTAAGGAAGGTTAAAGTTTTTTCTTACAAATCATGAATCAAAAACAGTTTGCATGTATGTGTAATATGTAGTAAATTATATGGAAAAACGTGATAGATAAATGTATTATTCATAATAGGAATGAAAATAATATAACTATTTTTAAGAGTGCTTATTATTTTACAGTATTTATTTATATTGATTTATTTCAATTTTAATTGCAATACCAATTTCTACATAAAATGAAATGAAACATTGTTATCTTTATTTTATATTTATGAAGTGTAGGCCTATTAACAGAAAATATAATTAACTCAATAATTATTTTCGTGTTGGCTGATTTCAAAGTATTAAGTTTGAAGAAGATTATGTCAAAGTGTAATATGCGACGTTATTAAAGTCGGATTAAGCAGGAGCGATGATTAAGAAATCGATTACTGCAGTCCGTAAGGGTGGATAGATGCGTAAAGGGTCTTAATGAATTTCAATGAGCTTTTACGACCCTCTGTTTGCTCAGAGGTTTAGGCAAACGTTAAACGTAAACGAGAGAATTTTAAATTGCTGAACCCCTGCATAGGGGTCATGATAGCGCTTCAACAGGGTGCATTTTAGAATAGGTATTCTTTGTTTCTCGCGTCGAAAGGGCAACACGACATCAATTACGTATCCTCGCCATTTTTCACAGCTTGATCACCATCAAATCTCTTGTTGGCTCAAATAATTTCATACATGTTGAAATAATTTTATACTATAATCAACATTTTATAATACACATGTTTATCACTGGATTTTTTATTTTTGTTTCGCAGTTTTTGTCTGTTTGAATAGGATATAATAAGAAAATACAATAATTTATTCAAAAGTAATTTTTAATACTTTACATTGAAAAATTTGTTTCCTTATTTTAACGTTACATCAACTTTTTATGTATTAGGGATTACTTTGTATTACAATTGTGTATTATTTTCTTACGTATATACATATTAAATAATTTAAAATTGTATCTACATGCTACTATTAGTTACGTATAAGTAACGTTAAATATCTGACAATTTATTTGTTTCATTAGTCCTTACTAAATTTATTTCTATTGCTATAATTTGCATTTATTAATTTTATATTTATACCTCAGGCTTTAACAGAAAACTATATTTCAGATCATTTATTTATACATTTTAAGTTTACCGAGATAACGTTCACAGTAAATGAAAACCTTATTCTAATTTTGTTAAGAAATATATTTTAACTTATCCATTTATGATAATCACATTACTTACCATTTGTATTGTTACTCAACAATTACAATTTGATGAATTTTTGTTCTTAGTTCTCATTAAACTACACGACACATTTACTTACATAATTACTAGTTAAAAAATTTAATCTATATGTCATATCTTTTTATGCAGAAGCATATAAATAATATTATAAAGAACTATTAGAATTAAATTAAGAACTGTCCAGATAGCGTAAACTCAATTTAAATTACAAGATTAAACTATAAAATGACCTGAATGACTATTAACAAATAAGGCAGGCAGCAACTGCTTAAAGCAACATTGGATACTTTATTCCACTTTTAGATCTGCATACAATCGTCGACACTTCCATTTGTTAATTACCCATAATACTGAAATGCTCGACGTTGTCTAAGATCGTGCCTTAGATAAGGCTTCAGGAAGCAATTAAGACCACTGATTCGTGTTTCTTCTGTGAGAGTAGTCTCTTCACAAGTTAGACTTCCTCCTTTTTTGTATTCCATTAGTTTCCAAAGGTCGTTGTAATTTTCTTACACATGCACGGCAATCATTGTCATTACTGTATCACATACATCCTGTTTCAATCCGTAGACATTTCTTGAAGCGATCCTTCGCACGACAGTTAAAGTTCGTTGCAATAAAAGACAATACCTCCCGAGCAAGCAATGGAGGAACAGACGAAAAGAATTCTTTTTCTCATCTGTCTGGTGACATTTGTGTCGAAAAATTTTTTGTCATGCACGGAAATTTCCTCGCAGATTAACCTTGACTCGAAAGAAGATGAACGAAGCTCGAGTGACCCCAATTCGAAGGATATGGTCAGTTTGGACAGAATCACTGGTAGAACGGAAATCCGTTATTTACTCGATCAATTAAGGCAAAGAACAACTAATATTGCACGAGTGAGTAAATATTTATTGTTCCTAGTTTTAAATTTATTGCTGTTTAACAGAAATGGAATAGATTGAATAAAAAAGGAAAAATTAAATAACTTGGTAGTATATATGTGAATTCTAAATAAAATGTAAATTCGAATTTATTAAATACAATGTTTTCTTCACATTATTTTGCAGTAGAGATTGATAATCTTTTTTCATGCATATAATACTTCATAATCCGTCTCAGATTAATAAAATGCTTGTAATCAATGCATTTCTGGTCATTCCAAGTTTGTATGTTGCTAGTGCACTTATGCAGCCGCTATTAAAATTGAAAGGAATGAAATAAGAAGATGAACAGACAATGGATACATTATGTATTTACGTTAAAAACTGAGAAAATACGATGAATTTAATTAATATTTAATTAAAATAGAAACTACATTAGAATAATGAACATATCAATTTTTTTTACATTTGATTAATTAATACTGGAAATATTCGGTATAGTGTGTATTGTATAAAATATTCAATGAATCTTCAATTCTATGGTGTTTGAATTATACATAGCTTCGAAAATTGTAACAATCAGATTACTAATTGCGTAATACGGTATTGCACGGTTTTGAGTAACATAAAATAAAATTGTTACGAAATTATTTGTATGACTTCTAATCGTAAGTTTTGTACAACATAGTTTGGAATAACACAGAACCAATTCACTGTGATATTCGACGATTGAATGTAGGTATGTATGTATATTGTGATGGTATAAGAAGCGAAAGTTTTCTCTATATTTGTATATCAACTCTATATCAACTCTATATTTGTAAACGGTACCAAGAACTTAAACGTTTCGTCAAAACGTTATTCATATTTTGTTTCATCCTTCTCACAAACCTATTTCTTACTATTATTGACATAAATACTATTTCACGTATCGCAGTTTGGAAGCCACTGTGTAGCATAATTTCTCAATAAATCATTGACGTATTGGTATTTAATTATTTTATAATAATTGTAATATAATGCAGAAATGTAATCTTTAAGTTTGTCTTATTACAATTCAAAGTAGTACTAGGCGAAAATATTACTGTGTTATTTAATTATTATCTAAAATATCAAACCTATTTTTCAAATATAATGAATGATGAATAGAATTTTGAGAAATATATGTAAAGTAGTGGAACTGAATTACTTATACCTATGAAATTCAGAGAGTATTATATATTTACAGACTTCAAATCTTTTTGATAGCAATACAGATTTGTATTTAAGCAACAAGATTTATTGAAAATTTAAGTGTTTAATAAATTATTAAAATCCAATGGAATGTTAAATATTCAAATAAAAAAGAATTAAATAAATTGAATATGTATATTTATTACATTGTTAAAAAATAATTCATATAGATAAAACTTTGTCCTCGTGTGGCCACTCAATTCTATTAAAAAAGTTTGTAATGTTTGCAATAATATTGTCAAAATAGATCATTCATATTTTATGTATCATGACGCGAGGAAGGATTACAAATTTGATTAAATCGTGCAGATTCGACTACCCGGATGAGATTACATAAACATGTTCCGCACTCATGAATACATACAAAAAAATTTACTACATTCTACACAACTTTTTCGTACACCCATAAACACTGAAGCTATTTACGTGATTCCAATCATGTGATCCATCTAATATATCCTCTTAAAATTTACATAAGAATTTCACATTTACAGTTTTATCACAAGACATAAACTGAACCGTTACTTTCTTTCAGAAGAAAACTTCTTATTAAATATCTTTTTATTTTCCTAGTAAAAGAAGCAACTTATTTGAAAGGTAATCCTTTGTTATGCGGAATACGTCTTAACGAGACAGGCCCACCCGCAGGTGTACATTACTCATAATAAACATTTACACGAATTCGACCATCGACATTTATAGTTCTGCAAACCGCTGACTCCCCAGCACGTCATAAGGTGCTTTGTTCCTATTAGACGGACGAGATCATAAAACCTCCGGTTAGTTATGGATTTACGGGAAGCTCAGCATAACGTCATAAATTCAGAGACATAAATTAATCATATGTATCTGACGGTAGAATCTTTCGAGGTCATTACATGTCAAACGCTTTTTATAATACCTATAAAAACGCTTTTTTTCCTTATTGAAAGTTTACAGCATACTTCACAAATGATAGTATAAGAAGTAAACAAGAGAAGTAACAGTTTTTTATCTCGTTTTTGTAGAATTGATAAAAAACTGTACCTGTCAAACCTGAATATTATAGTTTATGCATATTATGATACAATATATACTTGTATACAATATATGATGATACTGTAATGCAAATTCCATGCGTGAATAGGTAAAATACATTGAATTATGTATTTTTAGGAAATTGATGTGTAAGAATAAAAATTAGCACTTTAACATTTTAGTAACATTTCGTTTTCTTCGAATTGTACGTTGTCCATTTTTTTTACAAATTCTACATTTGCGTGCACTGTTTTGCTTATTTAGTAATTACTCACATGTAAACTACTTAGATTTGATTATTATAGATACATCTTATGACACTTATTGAGTTAAGAAATTGCTGAATTATAGAAAAATGGATTATAGAAATGAACTATAGAAATGAACTACAGTTACATAGAGTAATCACTTCAGTATGAGTTAATGTCTATTAACCGCTTAATATTTGTTAATTGTCACTTTATTAGACTTATCGTTCGTACCACTAGATAAAATATTGTTTCACAACAGTTGCACCTGCCAATAATGTAAGTACGTTGTATTATATGCAATTATGACGAAATGCAACGCACTGTAGACTTATTTTAATGAAAATAAAGAAATTGTTGAAAAATTTTTTTAATCCTTGTCACTAAGTTCTTTATTATTAAACACTTTACATTAATTTTGAAAAACACATTTAAAGGTCAAACGTTATCATCAATAAAATAACATTCATAGCACTAACAAATGTAGTGTTAACAGATTTAAGGATAATAAATGTGAACAATAAAGAACAAGAAAGAAGAGTACATTTACATTTATTTATAATTAAGAAATAAACATTTTTTAATCATTTTAACAAAGGAATTGTAATATTTGAAGAACTGAAAAAGACAAAAATTTGTGTCGCAAATGTTAATGACTATATTATATCTACTAAAATATTTTCCAGGGCGATTTAGAAAAAATATCAGATATTATTAATAACATCCACATCATTATAAATGGACAAGAAATAAAACCAAGCGCAGATGGCTGTCAAAATCGTATTTGCAAAGTGTCAATGTCATCGACCCGTGATGACGAGGGCAACATCATAACTGACGTGCATCTCAGAATAATAACGAAATCCGAGGTCGATTCTAAGGTCAATGAAATTCCAGTCGTCGATGGCTTTCGAGGCGTAGAAGATACGCCTGATCATCCTGTCAGGTCATTAGGTTCGACACCACATTGGCGTAACTATATTCCACAGGTAAATCTAATCATTCTTATATAATGTTCAGTATATTTTTATCGATTCATTAGCATTAACACAAATTTAATTTTAATATAATTTTTATTTAAATATAAAGTTTGAATATACTCAATTTCAGTTTAATTTTCTAAATAATTATTTCAATAAAATATCATATAGTAGCTATGTGTGTTACATGATTTCAATAATAAGAACGAAACAATCAACTATCCAAGCAGATTAAATTTTACTTAAACTTCCTGTTATTACAGCTTCTATATTTTACGCTAAAGTTAATTTTAATGTTGCAATAAAATTATTATGGGAAATGGTTAAATTATTTCAAGTACATATATAAACAAAACTGAAGGAACAAAATAACTAAGTAGGGAATGTATGATAAATTTCCTTTTAATAAAATTTTAAATTGTTTGAATTAAATTCAATAAATAACTTCTTTACATTCGATAAGAATGGAGAATACTATGCAAAATTTGTTTGTAATCGTGAGTCACAGGTACGATGTTAATTAAAATTGTTTTCCTCTTCAATTTTTGTTGTGATTGTAAGTATCACATTATTTAATATGATTAATAAATATTATAATAATCAATAAATACCACTTCAAATAATATGTTTGAGGAAAAATATTAATTCTTTATGAACTGTCCAAATAAAACAAAGAGTGATGTAAATTATTATAGATTCAAACTCGTTTTCAAAATGGTGAACCTTGGTATCAAGGTGAGAGAGCATTTCAAAGACCTCAAATAGGCCGTCGTTACCACTTCCCGACACAATTTACCGGCGGACGATTTCCACAGTATGGCGGACGGCCAGCTGCTGCACCCGTTGTTGATGATAAGATAGAACCACCGCTGAGTAAAACCCAAGGAAGCAACGAATAAAAAGCAAATTGTCACGATTGTAGCATCTTCTGGTTGTAAATATTATTGTCACATTTAATAAATTACAGGCACTGTTGATAAACAATCCTTACGGAAGAATTAAATAAATTCAAATGACTTCATGACATTACTACTCTATTAAATAAATATTAGAATAATAACTTTTATGTAGGATATCCTAGAAATTGCAATGTAGATAATACGAAGATAACTAATTAGGTATAATTTTTAAAATACGCCAATATAATAGCTCCATTTTTTAAATATAGTGTTTATGAAAATGAATTAAATAAACAGTGTGTTTTTATGTTCGTAATCTTGCTTATAACGTTAACACTTCTCGTTTTAATTTGATCAGAAAAAAATCATAATGTCAACTGTGGTAATGTGTCGGTTTTTGAGCATAACTCTATTCCTCTTCGATTTTATTATGAATTTTCATACAGCTCGTATAAAAATCTGTCAAAATGTAAAATTCCCTAGTAGTTTCTTCGCTCAAGATGGCAAAAAAGCTCCTTCTATTATCAAAACATTTCACGATTTGAGTTGTACTTAAATAGATGAGTATTTTTATGACATTGCTGTAAATATATTTGACAAGCAAACAATTAATAGTATTCTATATAACCCTGAGTTACAGAAAATCTCGATTTAAATAGGACAAAAGAATAAAGAAAAGCTGCTGCACCTTATCGCAACATGCGATGGTTCAGTAAAAGCGGTTATTGGTATTGTACATTCCATCGATGGCGTAGGATTTAATCTTCAACGGTGCGGAAAGTAATTTTTCCATTGTCGTTAACACCAGTCGTTGATACTTTATGAGACATTGGTTTGCCATCTGGACCAACCACAGTGTTCGAACTCGAGCTAGAAAATACTCCGTAAGAGCCACTAGAAGGTGGGGGAATATCTTCGGCAAATCTGGACTCAATTCCCGGCGCAGCCTAAAAAGTTCCAAATAAAACGTGATTATAACGTGACCCTGATATGTGCGGATAGAATTACGGAGCCATTAGATTAACCCTTTGCATTCGAGAGGTAACTCTTGCTCATTACTTGATTTGATATAGTAAAATTATAAAGTTTTCTATATAATATGAAGCTTTTCATAATACATCAAATTGTGACATTTTTGTTTCTTATGTAGTTAGTTTGAAATTGATTTGAAATTAATTTTAAAATGTTTTCTCATTATGTAGTTAGTTTCGAAGAATATAGTCTATATCTCATGATAAAGTTTGGAATACATCTAGTGAAAGAATCTCAAGTGCAAAAGGTTAACTGAACTATAACTTTTTATATAGACTATCAATGTTTATACACATTAATATTTTTATAAAAATATTCCTACAACAGCAAATATAAGTCTTTGAATCTACATTAAGAATTTTGTTGGGTAAGCTTAATAATTTTTACGAAGACTTATCAAATATGGATTGCATAGTATTCGAAGAAATACGTAAAATCCCTAGTGTAACTAATAAATATTACTTAAATTTATAGTAATGCAACTCATAAAGTGTTTTGTCACTTCTATTGCCCTATTTAGGTGCACATGTAAGTAATTTCTTCATTTACGTTCGTATACTTATTATTTCTTTGATAATTCTAGCACTGTACAATTAAATGTGCATCTTTTATAATAAAGGTAATTAAAGAGTCATTAAAAAGTCATTAAAGAATAATCAGAGTCATAATATGTTAACTATTGAAAAACTACACACTTCCCTGGCATATATAAATAAAAATAACAAAAGGATCAATTATTTTCATGTTTCTCTTTGATTTAATATATCCTGTTTGTAAAATCTATAATTAATTACCTAGATGTATTAAATACACAGTCAATATGGATTTCGTTACAGACATCTCCAGTGTATTATTTAAAAATGATTGCAATCAAATTTAATGTAATTAGTAATATATTAATCATACCGGACTGATCGCTCCAGTTTGGAAGCCGCCGCGTGGTCCCAAGCTAATGCTGGAAACAGCACTATGACCACCAGGGTTAGATCCTGAATAGCCATCAGTGCCTATGCGATTTGCAGTGTCCAACAACCTGTTACAAACATTTAAGTATTTAATATAATTAAAAAATTTCACAATTAACATTAGAATTACCGTACCAGTCAAAATGACTGGTTTCGATTTTTTTGGTTGGCAATTATTGATATTTTAGAAGCATTGAGCATTCGAAATGGATGTTGAAAATAAATAATTTCACTTGAATACTATATTGAATGTCCGAAGAAACTTAAAATAATCTATCATTACAATTTTTATAGGGATCACATATTAATCGTATTAAATGCTCGGTAGCTCTAGTATTAAAAGGTCTTAATTTATAGCAATTATTTTATTATTATATACGTTAAAACTTTCATTATAATCAAATTTTCAACGAATCTTTAAACTTACGCTTGTTGCTGTCTTTGGAATTGATTCTGCAACTGATTAAAGTAATCCTGCATTTGTCTTTGGAAGACGTCTGGATTATAGCCTGGGAACACGAATGAACTAGGATCCGGGAATGGGTTGCCTGTAAAAAGCAAATCAAGTGTGAACAGTATCAAACAATAATATAAATACGAACAAACATCACGCTGTATAATTATGTTCTTTAATTCGTGCAATTATACGGGAAACAAGTAAGCAAATACGATAAATTAATATTTATAATTAAACAATACCTAAATAATATACCCAACTACTTATTAAAATTATAATATATGCTAGAATCGCTGAATAACAAACTCTGTTCCGTCTTCTTCTATACGTTACATTCCCCAAATTTTCACTATTAAAAATGAATTTAGCATAATCCTTTTCTTGTTTCCCAAGACACATGCATAAGGGTTAAAATAATTCTCCAACTCTAACTAGATAATACTCTATCAATTTAGAGATACAACAAACTATGCAAAATCCCGATTTTAACAATTACAACATGTCCTATCGAACAATTTTCAGCCGTAATCGTACTCGCTCGAATGTTAGTCTCATTGCCTCGAAGCAACCAGTTCGTCAATATATCGCTCCCTCGCAATTGTTAATGACTCGTATAAACTTTTCTAAACGCGTATCGTGTAAGCATGCATTATCCACTCGATAGTGTCTTCAGGATGGAATTCCGGGGCTCGAGTTCGCCACCGAGTTGTTCATTACCTCCTGCACCGTAACCGAATCCCCCATAGCTACCCACGTTGGGTACGTAGCCCATGTTCGGTGAATAGCCCATGTTCGGCGAATAGCCCGTGTTCGGCGAATAACCCGTGTTAGGTACATTGGCCTCGTTAGGTGTATTGTCGACGAATGCTCCTCGATTACCGAACGACGGTTGCCCCATTCCATAATTCGGAGTGCCGCCGTATGATCCGGAGGACGCACCAGCCGACGCGCCAGCGAAGGACGATGCCGTTCCGAGTCCACTGCTGGTTCCAGTCCATGCAAAATTACCTGCATCTGGCATAGAGTGGACAGTAGGATCACCGTAACGTGGCGAAAAGTCTGGAATGGCGTTTGGGAAGTTGAATGAGGACGGAGGGTATACAGTCGGGTATCTAGGATGACCGGGGTGTTGCGCAGAAGGCAAAGAGCTCGCGCCAGGCTTTTTCTGAGGCTTCTTCTCGGGCTGTTGAGAGGGTTCACTCGTATCGATACGGGATTCTAGTCCGATCAATGGGGTCGGCGACTTTGAATCAGCTGGCTTATCAGAATCCGGTTGTTTCGACGTAGTCGTGGCTTCGGTTGCCGCGGTGGTAGGCTCAGCACTCGTTGCATCTGCTTTCGAAGTAGTGGGATTGGTTGTACGTTTCGGTACCGTGGAACCGGTCCGCGGACGCGGTTTGGGTGCTGGTGAACTTGCGCTAGGTGCAGAACTGGTAGGATTTGGTTGTTTCTGTTTGGTCGGGGGGGCAGGTTTTTTCGTAGATGCGTTCGCGAGAGGTGTGCTTGGTGCAGAGGCAGTGGTAGCGTCTTTGGACTTAGGTGTATTGGTGCTTTCAACAGTGCTCGGACTCTCAGATTCTCGTTTCATCCTTGGCACTTCGACGAAATCCACCTCGGCTGTCTTATCAAGTTCTTCGTACCCGTCTTCACCGATGAAAAGAAACAAAACAGCAGTTTTCGTTTGGTTAATCGTTCCCAGTGACACGGATTGCTTGATATCAATGTTTCATACCCTCTGGCGGTTATGATGTACATGCTTTTTCTAGTTAACGGGATCGTGTGGGTCTACCGAACATTAGAGATCTCCGAAATTTGGAGGAGAAAATACATTGGATGGGTCTGAAGTTTAGTCTTCTACAACCTAATTTCTTTTCCATATGTGATTAAAAATGATGTACTGTGAAATTATCTAACTTCAACCTCTGTATTTATATGAGAAGTAGCGAAAACAGTTATATGGAACCTTCGACAAAGAAACTTTCAGCGGTTTCGCAGTCGGATATGAACGTTTCGCCAAACGTATCGTTGAAATAAATGGTGAAATTGTGGTAGATGACGCATATTCGTTTCCGATTCACTTTAATAACTTCAATTTTTTTCATTTGCAGGTTATTGTTTAAAATTCTAAAATACTAAAGTTCACACAATATGGATACTAAATAAAATACACTGAAGAAGGTAAAGGTATTAATTACGATTCTACCTGAAATGCATCTAAAAGTTACTTTTTCATTTTTTTTAACTATGGCGTAGCAGGCCAAAGAATTTGAAAAAAATTGAGAATATCTATCACATCATTATGTCCACTGCTGTAAAAATTAAAAAATTGTTACTCGAAAATTTCAGTTCGTAATCTATATTTTTTTATTTGGGGCGGAGGCGGGGGGGGGTTAATTTTTCATGCTAAGAATTTGAAACAGAAAAAACTCAAAAACTTTTCAGCCACGCATTACTATGCCAAAAATGTCTTCGAATTTTTTCACAATTTTTACGTACCATTAAATAGGAAAAATAAGACAAAAGCCGATAATTCGAATTTACCCTATAAGTACCCCTCTGGTTGAGATAGGAGGCTGAAACTTCGTGTACAATGTTTTCTATGGATTAGTTATCGAAGGAAACTTTCTCGAGAAAAATCAGTTTAAGGGCACTTTTGACCCCCTTATCCTGCTATACTCATTCTATAAAAATATAAAACGTAAGTTATATGTAGAATATATTTATAAAACTGTACAATATACCATTATTACCTAATTTTGTATAACATATAATTTTATAACTGTAACATATGATTTTAACTAAAATTGAAATCTGCCATTGTTATATATATCGTTAGATGTAATCTTCCTCTGTTTCCTTTAATTTTTTATATTATTAGAAATTGAATGTAACAAGTTTCGTATTCTACTTTGTGTCATTCTCATACAAAAGCACTTTTTAATATCTGCTTCGTTTGAACATGGTTTTGTCTTATCTTTCCTTATGGGTATATAAAAAAATTTGTGTCATAAAAGAGAAAAATTCATTGAAATAGTAATAAATATAGAATGACTATTATATTACTTAATGGAGTATAACCCTTCCTTCCAATATCAGTATTTCTTCTTTTTTTTCATAATCTCTAATGTTCGGAAGACGTTCGGATTGCATATATTTTCATCGAAACGCATGCGTGTGAGAAAGAAAGTTCCACAATACATTGGACAGACAGCAGGCACGAGTTTTATTTCTTTTGGCCGTTTATAAAGAGGATGGTCCTCCTAAATTAGAAGTATATAAACAGTGATCGACTGGCATACAAACATGCAGGAATTTCGACGTGCCACATTATAACACACACTTAAACGCTAATTTCTTCAGGAGAATACATTGGGATTTCCCAGTTGGCTTTTACGACGAACGTGCACAGTAGTAGAATGAAAGTCATGAATGTTGTTAGGAGTAAATAAAGATAAATCAGATACCAGAGTTCATTTAAGCAAAATTGACTGTTTAACTAATTTTCTTAGTGTTTAATATGATTATAATAAAATATAAAGAGAAGATTAACTTAGATAAATTCTTAATTGTCTTTTATTTCAGTCTTTATAAAATGATAAATTAAAAAATTCTTGTCAAATATTATTACATTTTTATAATTCCACATTTTTAGAAGAGAATATTTATAAAGAATCAAAACTATATAGTAGTTGGAAAGATAAATATATTCTTTCATTCTCCTAACGTAAATTTGAGAATTCATTGAGCATTTATTCGTGGTATTATAATTACGTAAACTGTTTTTTTTATAATTACATAACTATGAGAACTCAGAAAATGTAAACAGTTTGTTTCTTAGTAGATAGTCACGTATGTAGATAGTTGTGTGACATGTCAGACTGATAATCCTGCGAGAAATAAAGAAATATAAGTAAATCTAATTAAATATCAATAAATGAAATTTTCTTTTAAATAGTATTTTGTTAGTGTTGTGTTTAATTTCAAAATAAATGTTAGTTTCTTCCAAAAAGTTAAGAAATATTTAAAAATGACGTATCTTTTAATTATATAGATTTAATCGAATCTGTTGCAAAGAATGTAACACTAAAGTATTAAGAATCAACGTCTTGAAATCTATTTAGAATGACGACATATAAAATCATATATAAGATCTTACAAAATTTAGTTAATGCAAAATATAAATTATTATTCTGTCCATATTTCTACCTATTTGTACATTTTATAAGAACGCTAGAAATGATTATATTTTATATTCTTATTATCACCGAATATACAAAAAAAATATGAACAAAAGGAAGTTGGATGAAAGTAAACTTGGCAAGGGTCAAGGTTGGTAACGAAACGAGGTCACGGTTCGTAAACTTCGCGACGAATTATCGTCGCTTATTGCGCGTCGTGCATAACACTCACATACAAAAGAAAAATGCACTGAAGAGGTCACAGTTAATATTACGGACGTGAGAATATCGATTATCGGTTTGCTACTTCACATGCACTTACTTACATACATATAAACACTTGCCGATATTTTATATTAATGTTGCGGCGACGCGGCGTGAAGAGTTTAATTACTTGCTGACACTTTTATTGACACTCAATTGTAACCAGTTATTTAAAAAGTTATTAACGTGTCATGAATTTAATTAATGTAACCGAGTTTGATATTCTGTTAATGCAGCTGACAATACTTATTGTTACATAGTATTACTCGATGAATTGTTCCTTTGCTATTAGAAATTAATTTTCTTAAAATGTGTTTAATTCAAATCAATCTTCATTTTTATGATAGTAATGCTATAGCTAACGTCAATTATTAAATATTTCATTGATTGAAGTTATTACTTTTAGAATAGGACAGTCACTATTTAATTGGTTTGTAAAAAAATAATAAGAAGAATTAAATAAACTTTTTAAAGTAAATAGTACTAATTTTTAGACTGCGATGGCTGTTTCATTTAAAAATAAAAATTTACAAATGTTCAAACATAAATTGTGAATAAAAGTATATTGCTTAACTCTTATTTTTTCAATTTGAAATATTTTTCAGCTCAGGCATCAACTAATTTGTATACAAAATTGTTTATGTAATTTTTTTGAAAACATTTTTTCGATTCACAACAGAGTATAACATAATATAACGTTCGTAGAATATTTGTACAACCTTATTAACTATCAATGTATATGATTAAATATTGAATTGAATTGTACCTCTGCAGTGAATGTTATTATTTACAAAACATAATTTAGACTCTTTTTTCTTATTCTTATAAACTAAATTATACTTCACTATATAATTTTTGTTAAATATCTATATATAATATCCCATTTCTATACTACACTACTCTAAAGCATTCATGTAACTACTTATTATTCATGTGTGTTAAATAATACTCTGATTCCAAGTTTTCCTTCATCGAATATAGTTCCTTTACAAATCAATTATCGACGTTCATCACAGAATTACATAACAACTGATTGAAGAATCTATCGTAAAAATTTTATTCATATCCTTATTTTCCTAAATATGTATTACATTAAACACGTTTGAGCATGACGTATTGAAACCTTTTATACTTACAGATCCTCTTAAATCAACTTTATTCTTGTTTAAAATCATAGTAGACTGACATTCGCTTGCACTACTCGAAATATTTAAATATGTAAATACCGAGGAGCCCCGAACCTGTTTCTAGGCATTGACAAACGTACATTCCTCTCACAGTGTTCTGCGCATCCATTGCCTACAAAGAAAGCTTCTCCGTTATCGACTCGAATCGCGTCTAATTTATCGGCATTTCTCAGACGCGAATTAACTAACGATAATTCATTAACATTTCACAGCTTCGTAGCGCGCACGCGTTGCCGGTTTCGCAATTATCCTGAAATTTCCGCGTCTCAACTCCGATTTAAATACACGAGTGTTGCGTAACTTATTGTTGAATATAATTTTTATTATCCTTGGCTTACGCAATGGAGGATTTCTTGGGAACTAATATTCGATAGTTTCAATGACGATGTCTTCGAAACGGTTGAGTGAAAACGCAAATAGTAAAATGAACGGTCGTACGGGGCATTACCTAAACATACGTAATTATGATATTGTAAAACGCGCGAAAATAGACTATCTGGTTTGTTTTTCATTTAATGTTTTTAACAGCCTTTGTATTTAATTATTTGCAAAAAAGAAAGTTTAATAGAAACCTTTAAATTCTTTAATAAAATCTTTGTTCTACGATCTCATTAGAATAGGAACAAGTACAAGATTATAGTTACTTTTCTATCTTATAATAATTATCTTCAGATATTTAAAATCGTTAGTGACTTACGAAAAATAAGGTCATAAGAAACACAGTTCATTCCGTAAAAGTTCACTCCGTTTAACGAATTTTAGCGGATGGAATATTCCTTTACAGTTCGAATTTTTTCTTCTAGAAATTTAAAAGTGTCAGCGTGCTAACAATTACATTCGAACATCACATCGACCGCCACGTTGAACTCTTCCTCGTCACCGGTACCGTTAGCGACGGATTAATTAATCGAGCAATCGATAGATGACATCGTGCCAATTATCACGTGCAGCAGTATCGTGCATTCACTTGTTAATAACAAAAATACATTTCATTTCCATTTTTTTTCTCTTTGACATAGTTACTATCAAGCAGTGTGTGTTCCCGTGTCTGTGTTTATTCTATGATTACTCACTTCTACGAATTCTGTAGAAAGGTACGTAGAGCTCCGCGAAACATCCCGTGACGCTGATAAACACGAGTAATGTCAAGATCCTGGTATCCATTTTGTCCGGAAACAGTGAACCAGACAACGTACGCAGCGAATATTTTACGTTTCCGTGGGTGTCACTACCGAATGCGGGAATTCGAATGATCCTGACGGTGCCGCTGAGTTTGCGGGAATGACTGCTTCAATTGGCACCTCCGTCACCTTATATAGCATTCGCCGGTACCGGCTTCTTTGCCTCCGATCGTCTCCGCACGTGTGAAAAACTCCACGGAAACGCAAAATTCACGTGAACACAATGTTGTATTAGGGGAACCAATGAGTAATCCATTTTACTTTATCAAAATGAATACGCAGTCTTCGAAATATCGAAAGTCTTTGCTATTTTAGTACCATATTTGAGTATCGGACACTCTTTTTAACCAGTTAGCTGTTTTTGAAGAGTATACTCGTCACGAAGAAATTACAAGGTTTTGTGTAATGACAAGTATACTCGTCACGAGTAAAAAGTGGTTACAATTTGCTGTTTAAATTGCAATTTTAGTGAAAACTGAAATTAGTAAATTTCATGATGTTTTGAATATTTGGAGGTCAAGACGAAATAAAACGAACGTATAAAAGAATATAAATAATTGTTACGAAGAAACTGTATATAATGTGAAGAAAGTAGTTGTTTTAGAATGAAGATATGTGTGTTTGACTTGCGAAGTGCCCTTATGTATTGCATCTTGTTTTACTCAATATCATTCCACAACAGCAGATTGAACTAACTAATCACTTTTCTAGGTAATTGAATTTCATGAATTTTTTTCTTTCATATGCAAACTATATACGTTTAAGTTACGTAAATAAATGAATGTTAGTATTAAAATTGAAAAATAAAACAGTCATTTTATTACAACTTAATTCTATATTATAACAGCCACACATACTCTGTGTTTAATAAGTATACTTGTCATCGCTTACTTTTTGCGACACATGTTAGGTGCACACTTTTCAAAGAGGTCGCTACAGCTAATTGGTTAAAATATAAAAAATTGATTTTATAATTATTTCTTAGTATTTCATGTATTACAAAGTAATTGATACAAATGGTACAAATGATACAAATTATTATCACAAACAATACTGATTCATAAACCTTTTACCTATAGATGTTATCTTCGAATTTTGAAATGCCTGCGTGTTTTCAAAAAGTTTTCAAATAGTTGTTCGACCAATTTTTTATTCAAGTTAGTTGAAGATTGATTGATTGATTGATGATCTAAGAAACAAGAAGAATACTGAAAAATAATTAAAATACTGAACAATATTAACACATTGAAAAGAATATTTAATAATCTTTTATTTGTTTTGTTTTATATTGCTGTGTATATACATAAAATTTTAAAGCAAAAATTTCGTTTATGTATGCGATTATTAACTAAACAGTACGTTGAATATAAACATAATGTCAGATTAATAATTCCTGTTAGTATTTATTCTAATTATTTTTTGTAAAAAGACTAAAACAATTTATGTTACTAGACACACCGATGTGCTATTACAACTTCTACTACTTAATTTTATTGTATTTATTATTTCATTATATTCATATTAATCTTATTGTTGTAACATACCTTGAAATAAGTGCATTTGAAGCACGTATAAGGATTTATCATTAACACTTTTATTAATAATTAATGAACATTTCAATTTATTAAATGCGCTTTGACAAAATTATTATAATAGATATTTCAGATAAATCGAGCGTATAATATGAATTTGTGCACAAAAATAATTAACAAAATGAATACAATATTCGACTTCCCTCTATCATCCGTCGTATGGATTCTAATATTTTTTAGATCTTTATTTATTAAACCTGCCTCAATTCAAAATTATCCAAGGAAAGGGTATTTAAAAGGATATTTATATATTCCGATCAAAGCATAATAAACTTTCGCGTTGAAATAGAAATGGTTACCCGGGTATTCAATTTTGCACATAAAGGATAAATATGTCACGTTACATGTTAAGGCAACGTTTATTTATTCTAAATACCCATTACAATAAGGAAAGTACGCACTCATTTCAATAGAGTTGATAGAGATATACACACTTAACTGATGAAGAGTTGTCTAAGAAATTTAAGCATACGTATTCAATCGAAGATAACGTATCTCATCTACGCTAACGTTTCGGTTGTTCTGCACAAAACACAGTTGCAGTGAGTGAGAGTGTAACAATAAATCCTAAAACATCAATACACTACTAAGCACAACAATTAAACATTTGCGCAACACAGACAAAGCTGCACTGTACAAGGAATTTTGACGAAAGATCTTCACCTGCGTCTATATAAAATTCAATTGACCCCAGAGCTGCCTGTTGGAGGCCATTGACAATAAAGAGACCTTCGTCAATTGGGTATTGGATGTTCCAACTTGCATTTTTGAAGATATTAATGCGGAAATGAACATCATTGTTAAAGATTATTTTCCGTTTAAATCCATCATCCACTTTCTTATGTTCCATTTCCGCATCAATATCGTGAACAAACAGAAGCTGGTTTTATTGTAACGGTGAATGTAAATCGTTACTGTGTGATGCCCGAGAATTTTTCTATGTGAAATTGGTGATATGGATGTGAAGGACATATGAATCGTTTTTTATTGAAGTGGTATAAGTCCATTTTTGGAAAAACATGAGTTAATGATAATTTTAATGAGATATAGATATTCTCTTTTTATATTTATAATCATACAATTAATGACGTACGATATTCTCATAAATTAATTAAATGAAGTTTAAAATGTTATCATAAAAAGGTTTTCTTTGAAAGTGGAATAAGTCTATTTGTAGTTCAAAAATCGCTTACTTTCTTTCAGAACTTTATTAATTATTATTGCATAATAAAATATAACAAGTTTATGGTTTTATAAACATTACCCGAACTGATTAACGTTTGCTAATATTTTTATGTTAATTCAAACGCGACTCCTTAAATATCTCAATGTAAGAAAAAATGGACTTAGACCACTTAAAAAAGTAGTTTATATGGTTCGAACAGGATGTTGCGAATTATCACACAGTATGTGAAACAATGTAGTTTGTGCAGACCAAATTTCCAGTCGTGTAATCTGTCGTTATGGAGATTAGAACTGGCTAGCACGATCGTGCAATTTAACACCTTGCGATTTCTTTTTTGGAGTTACTTGAAGTGTAACATGTACACGTGACCCTCAATTTACGCGAAAATTTGTTCCACGTGGATTCGTTTTACGCGAGTGAAAATCACATAGAGTCTGCTGACACAAAAAAAAACAAAATATTAGAAGAAAAATCCGATCATTCGACCGGTTCCCGGCAAGGTTAATGTTAATTAAAAATAAAATTAATCATTTACATCAATCTTGTACACTAACCTAATAACCTTATTTAGCATAATAAACCAAAATTTTGTTTTCTTCTTCCTATTCTTGGTATTCTGTAATTTTTGCATCGGATTCTGATAACCCCGAGATAATAATGAAAAAATAAAATAGTAGCAGTGAATAGTGAGAAACGAATTGGAAATAAACGGAATTATAAATTGTATTCAATTTATTGTGAATGATTTTTGAGTAAGGATCTTACGATGAATACGTCGAAGCGAAGACTTCCGTTTCAAAATCCCGTTTAATGCTATCAAATATATAAATCAATGTTTACGTCAATACTACAATGACAGCTCACGGTACCCGCCATCATTCAACATCATCGACCAACTAAATCACAAGAATAAGCTACATACTTCTATATTATTATTCATATGAATGGCCAATACTTTTAAAATTTTGTTTAAATACCAAATATAAATCTTCATTTTATCTTTTACTTTGAATATAAAAATAATTTTTCAACAAATTGATTTTTCTCGGAATTTAATGCTGGGCATTTAATTGAATGAATATACACCTTGTGAATTATCATTCATATTTATTTTGTTTTAGTTTTGTTCGAAAAATATTAAATATTCGAATATGCTATTCTTTCGAAAATATATTGCACAAATTTCTTCCTTCAATAGATGCCAAGAAAGAACATACTCTCCTTGGAGCTAAGACTTTATAAAAAATTCTTATCATAAAAATGTTTATTTAAATGTAATTCAATCTTTCAATATAACTTGAAGAAATATCCTCTGGATTCAATCACATTCGAGCAAAAAAAGGAATAAATGTTACGATTATATGACTTGTGAGTATTACGAAAATGGAAATTAATTTAAAAAAATGAAATGAAAGTAAAAATTAAAAAAGACATGCAAATTGTAACATTTTCAACAAATTCGAAAGGAGCACGAAGGTACAAGTTACAAAATATTTCGTATAATGTACATTATAATTTTAATTTCACTAACGTTATTAACGTGAATTGCAGCAAAAGGTCAATTTTACATTAATTTATTTTTTGTTTTTCATTATCATGTTTTCAATAATTTTTCATTCTTTCAGTTAATAAAACTAAATGTTGTTAATACATTCACCTATTTATTTGTACAATTTGCATTTATCATTTCAAGAACTATGTGCTATTTCAAATTTTGTAAAAATATCTTTCTATCCACTGATGACATTTAAACTATTTAAATAAAGAAACAATAATAAACTATTTAAGTATATTTAAAAATACTTTCATTTATATTTAGTAGTGCTTCCAATACTGAAAAATAGCGTTTTTGCTTTAAACAGTAATTAATTCTAGATCTTAAAGTATTTATAGGTAATAACATTTTATTTAAAAACAATAAAATGCACAGTTTAATGAAATTTCAGTTTGACGTCAGTTTTGGATTAATTTTGTGTCATGTGAATTCTTGCCACAAAGAAGTAAAATAGTATTGAAGTTTACTTTCCTTGTATGTATACGTGTACTGGTACAAATCTGCATAAATGTCTATAGCCTATGTAGTAATTACTCGTGCATCCTGTTGCTCGTGGTAGCTGATAAAGGATAATTGAAACGGTTTGTCCGTCATTTTTTTCGGAATGCAGTAAAGTTAGGTTAACCATGCTTGAATGACGAAATAATTCTATCCATGAATCGATCAGAATATGACCGTGGTTGTTTAATTATTGGGTAGCAATCGATAGATTATTACGCTGTGTTCTTTCATTCCCAGAATTTATTGATGATATTGCAGTTTCTTTGTGTGAATGGAAAATATGACGAATTATTATTGCAAAAGTTTCCATAAGGATACTTCCTCATTTAGAAAGACTAATTGTTGTTTAGTCATAATAAAAGTAACGTAAGGATTCAGTTTTATTTTTTCATGAAGGTACTACATAAAAGCAATAGCAATAAGATGAATACAAATCTTCTTTTATAAGTTTATTTTAATAAAAAAATTGTTTAAGGCTAACGATATTTATTTGTTACGTAATATAATTTACATAGTGTTTACATATTTTCATTATGTTCATAAAAAATATGATTAACATACTTTATAAAATGTATGCACTTCGATTTAAGTGTATGAATTTACTTTTGTAATTAATGATAATTATTGTCGGAACAACTTCAATTGATTATAATTATAGAACGCTTTAGTACCAGTACTACGCATATTTATGCAACTTTATGTTTTTAGGAATTATTTTAAACAAATAAGAAATAAATGATGATTATAGGAATTTATGGTTATGAATAAAATTAATATTTTATTACATATTTTCTATTTCTATTTGATTGGTTTAGTCTTCTAGATAAATGATTAGATAAAAAAAATTGTGTTGAGACGGAAATAATTTATCAATAAATAAAAAATGTACAACATGTAATATTACATAATACAAGCAGAAAATTATTTGTTGTGGAATATTGTAATTCATTTTACAATTAAAATAACATTACGAAAATAATATAAATTATTTTTCTAATGCCAGAAAATATACAAATTCCAATGCTATAAACATTCTATTAAAATGGAACGATATCTAACTATAGAGTGAACATAGTCACTTAAGCTCGAGAAACATTGTAAAGAAAAGGAGTTACACTTTTCCTCTAATTAAGGAGGCAAGAAATGTTTAATGAATATCCTTCATCTTGTAAACATTTTGCAAAGGAGTCTGTTTCATTGACACCGTTTTCCTTATGTTTCAAATACAATTTAAGCTGATTATTACGAATTTATTAATTTATATTCCTAAAATGTAGGGAAAATTAATAAATTTCAAATATTAATTTTTCCTTTCTTTCTTTATTTTTATTGATCTGTTTTTATTGATCTCGGGTAAGTATTTATACAAAGACAAAATAAAGGAAACAAGAGGAAATGGAGAAATTAATTTACAGTAACTGTTTGTGTGAATAAAAATTAAATTTAAGCGCAGAAATTCACAGCTGATTTATGAAAAATTTCATATTTATTGAAAACAAAGTTAACTTCAAATCTTTTAACAACTATGTACATATACAAGTAACACTTTCATTTTTAACACGGTCCGTGCCACGTGTGCCATTTGTCGTTCACACGCAATTTTTGTAAGGAACCATTTTTTGTTAGACATCTGGCAAGGGATAGCGGTACACGTTACGAAGCGGCGAAAACATAAATAAACAGTATCAAAATATATATAAGTCAGCAAAAACTTGATTGTAACTTAATATTTCATTTAAAAAATCAGTGCACTTCATAAGCAAGATATAACCAAAATTTCCGATGGCTCGGAATGTGTTAATATATAAAATACGTAATCAGAATTTAATTTTTAATCACATGATATGGAATAACATCAACTCGCTAACTACATATTCCTCGTAAGTCTCTGCCAAACTGTTTATTAATTTGTTACAAATAGTTGCAACATACAATTCTCAGCAAAGTTAAACAAACAAATGATTTACGTAAAATCTTCAGTTGCATCGCTGCTAGATAAATTTCTTGGCTGTGAACGGACGAATGACGCTGCCGGGGAATACCCAATCGCGAAAGTTGATTACCTTCTGCGTATTAATCCGTAGAGGCTTTGGACAGCTGCTCGTTCCGTTTCATGGAGGCGTGTATTGTCTCAAGAGCCCAAGGTACATCTGCCTCTCGGGTTCAATGTCAAAACGTGCTACCTCCTCGTGGCCTAGGTATACTTGAATCACGGAACGATCGCCTATGCCTGCTGATTGCTTCGCATTGCTTCTAGATCGCCAAGCTTCGTCGATAATAACAAAATTCTTGTGCGTAGTTTTTACGCGCTATTTTAATACTTGAACATAGAGAATTTAATACAATTGATATGTAGTATAAAAGTCACACGAGCCTATAGAGTGTTAATTAATTAAATTAAACATATCGTTTCCGAGTTATAACAAGTTTTTTTTATTGGTATTGATTGACTTAAAAATCTTGTTTTTGTTGTCCATGTGTGGCGTATATTATAATATACTAATAAACATTGAAAATAGATAAACTTAAGTCAACAGACAGTTTTTGAAGTCGATATTATTCAATTTAATTATAGTTTAATATAGTACTTTAATTGTATATTCAAGAATGCTTCGGAAGCACTGAAGTGGCACTTTCATGTCGTACAATTATGATAGTATAAATAATTACAGGAAAAAGTGTTAAAATAGGTAGACATTGGGATAAAATTCAATCTGAAGTCTTTGTACTTCATCTATTAAGCTCATCGTAAATCAGCTGTGAATTTCATCTATTATTATCATCTATTATAATCAAACAGTGTGTTGTTATAGTAATACTGAACGATGTTGACACTAGAACCACCGAGCATTTAATACGATAAATATGTAATTCTTATAAAAATTGTAACAATAGATTACTTTCAGTTTCTTCGGATACTTGTTATAGTATTCAAGTGAAACTATTTATTTTCAAAATCATTTCGAATATTCAATGCTTTGAAGACAACAGTAATTGCGAAACAAAAAAGACCGAAACCAGTCATTTTTGTAAAAAAGTAAAAATGTAGTTTTGTTTTCTGAAATATCATTATTATTTGTTTTGTTTGGCTGTGTGGAGTAAATATGTGTTTCTAAAACTTATACCAGCTTTTCTTTCCAATATTTTGTTTTTTCTTGTACCGACGGATACTATTTACGCGATTTTCATTCGTGTAAACCGAGTGTACGGTGCAGATGGTTATTATGTCATTTTCAGCGTCATCGCAATTTTAATTGTGTGCGAATTGAAGTTTAGCATAGCCCTCCATATCTAAATATTGGGTTGATGCAAAAATTTTGACGTTTCGTGGTTAACGGAAAAATATTTTTCTTCAAAACAAATAAAATCTGTTTTCAAACTATTATAATATCCGTAAAGTACGCTTCTTTTATTTTTACTTAGTTTTGGTTTAGACAGCGAACAGTTGAGAATTCTTATTTTTATTTCTTAGAAAAAAATTCGTCAAAATTTTTGCACCAACTCAATACTTTAAAGCATTGTGGAACATGTATTTTGCGGATAAACATATTTACAATTAGTAAGCATCTATCCTTTTGAGTTAAATATTTTTAAGTTACTTATATGGTTTACCTGAAGTTATAAATCATTGTTATATTAAATATTTAATTGCATGGAATATTCTTATATTAAATACATTTTCAAAATATGTACAGGATATCTCGTAATGCATCCATAATTATCCGTATTAATGTCAGAACGTTCATTATCAAAACAGAATCTCTTCTAGCAATAAATTCTCTGTCGAAGAGAATCCTAATCATAATGGTTTCATAAGAAAATCTGCGTACTTAGATTGTATAATTTTCATAGTTAACTATCGATAATATTTCTTTAATTGAAATAGATCTATACAAATTATTGACCCCTTAACATATGATTTATTTCATAACTACATCAGAAAGAATTACTTTGTTATTAATAACTTATTAGAAACAAAGCAGAATTCCATACTCATCTACATTCACGTTTACTTCAAAGTTTAACAGTTGATTACAGAAATATAATATTTAATTTAGACTTAAGAGTATTGCGATTTATTTACTTTCGTCAATTTCAATTTGCGATTTCCCTCACGAGTTTAACACAACATTGTATGGCAAAGAGTTAAAATAGTGAGTATAATGATTTGAGTTATTGTGATTTTATGCTTTATTTGGTTTTAGAAAGTTAAGTATAATAATTATTACTGTAACAAGTAATTCGTTATTAGCACATTTTTTGTGAGTATCGTAAAAGTATATTTTTCCTGCATCGTCTTAATAGTAATAAATGAAAATTTTTGTTTATTTCATTATCATTTTATCGTAAATATAAAAGTTTGGTTCCTTCTACGTTTGATTGAAAATATTTTTATTCACAATGAAACCTCTTGAAACATATTGGATAATAAAATGTTAAAAGGTTAAATAAAAATGTCTTATATAGAAGAAGGAGGTCACAATATGTATATTCCACTCTTTTATGCAATAATAGGAACAATAGTGATATTAGTCATTTAAATAAATTACACATGAATATTAATAATCAATTACAATGAACATAGAGTAAAAATAATACAATAACAAGTATTAACTAAATATCATCATATTGAAAACTAAAAGCTTAATTTGCAAAAGTGAAATTTATACTTTTGTCTAATATTCTTTGAAGATTTAAAATTTAAATAAATACGTAATTCAATAACCAGAGAAACATAGGTTTTATAAATATTTAAACAAATTGTTGGTTTTCACGATTTCTCTTTAAACAAAGAAAATTTATTATTGAAAAATAGTTATCTTATTATTTAAAAAATTCTATTGTTCGAACATTTCTGGTTTCCTATTGCTTTAGATAAAGCAAGCTCTACTCTATTGTACACCTACTTGTACAATTGACTTTAATGTGAAATCGGATTTCTAAAACAACAATTTATTGTGAAATATGAACGATTTTACGAAATCATATAAGTGCATGGAAAGAAGATATGCATGCATTCGAAAATACTTTATTTTTTTTGGAGATAAAATTCTTTTGAAAACCCTCATTAACTCAAATCTTAATGACCTAGATGTCATCGATATCACGTTACATACTTTAAGGCTTTTAGAATATATATAAATTGAACGCCCAAGGTGGAACACTTAGTAAGGTTTTAGTTTTCGTGTCTTGATTTACGTTGAAGTATAAAGCAGCCATGTTGAAAATGGAAGCATCGATACTTATGTTGCTTCTTCTATCACAATACGAGAATGTTAAAGGTAATTTTTACGAATGTCCTATTTAAATTGAATACCATTATAATAACTCTTTCATATATATTAGCAACATTCATATAAAATACGTGAATCAAATATGTCATAATACAATTAACTTGTTAATCTTGACTATTAGAATCTTTATATTGGAATTATAACTGCAGCGTTAATGAACTGTGAGAATAGTTTGTCAAAAAGTCTCAGAAATGAGAATTGTTTGAAAGTCTAAAGTGTCTAATAATAAAATTGGATCTCTGTAGAATTCTTGTAACATTGATTGTAATTCTATGTTCATAGAAATGAGTAAACTATTTTAAGTTAATTTAATACTAATGTTATATTATTTTACTTAATATATATCTTCCTTGTCTATGATATTATTTCGTTTCGTCTAAATGTTAATATAATTATATGTAAGCTTTATTAAGTAGAATTATTTAAATTCATATTCATAATGCTACAATGTTTCAAATACGTATGCAGATGTTACAATTATATAACAATGAATAATATGGATTTACAGACTGAGCACCGTGAATCACATATAATTATCTAAAACCGAGAAATTCATTTACATCATTGAAGCAAACGTATCATCTATTATGTTATGATTGATTGGACGTTCCTATGATTAACCGCTATATTTTTCGATTTCTCGACAGTTCGTGGATATCCCATGATGTAAAGATTTTTCAGATAGTGGTGCATCATATTACACTATCTGAAAACGTTAAAATATACAATACATACATTCAAATTGATCATAAATCATTTACACGATTAATAATGAAGATTGAAGGAATGATAATTAAATAACCATTAATATACATACTTAAGTTTTGTAATAAACATTAAATATGTAAGTTATATAAATAACTGTTACTTAATTAAGTATCTCCTCAATTAACGTTAGTGAAAGAAAAAAGGATAAAAATTATGTATAATTAAATTACCTACATATTTAGCATTGTATAGAGTTATTTTAAATATTATTAAAGAGACTGAACAGAATTTATTTTTGAGAACATTGGAACTCTAATTACTACTATAATTTGAACATATTAAAACTCTATAAAACAGCAATAATTAATAGGAAACAATTTTGAAAATTTAAAGAAAATTTAAAGTCTAGAATCCTTAATAATTTCTTGATCTAATTATTACGGTTTGAAAAAAGTTAAAATTATACGTTGGTTACAATTTAAATTACATTAAAGGTCTCTCCAATTTGACATAAAAATCCTTGAATTTGCAGCGTTACGTTCTATGAAATGTCAGCATACCCAAAAACAACACATAGTAATTTAACTTTGAAGTCATTTCTATCATATCTGATCAAACTATGGTCTTAATTATGGCCATACAAATGATGGCTGACTATTAATTTGTCATTACGTTCTAAAAGTAGAGACAAAAAAAATTTAAGGCAATTCACATCCGTAAATGACTCAACACCATTTGCCGACAATAAATTGCAGATAATTCATTACTACTCATATGTCTGAGATCATCTACTATTACTAAGGCATTTTTCATTCACCTTTTAAATATACACAATACAAGATAAAAATATAGTACAGATATGTATGTATTGAATGTATTATTTATTTTCGTATTATTACTAAACAATCTTTTAAAAACAGAGTAATATATTGATTTAATTAAATGTGAATTGATCTGTACACATAGTACAAGTTTATAAGATATTTTAGTTTTTATATAAACACAAATTCAAAGTGACAAAGTTTTAAAAATGAATCGTAATATTTTGTTAGCTACAATATTTAAAATTTTTAATAACTACTGAAGACTTCTTATATCTGAATAAAACGATGAATTAATTAGTCTAATTGTTATTACTTTTAATTGAATGTGCTTTTACAAATACAATCATGTACTTCCAGAAAGTAGTTCTTATAACAATTACTGCGAAAATAAGTACAATTATAACATAGGTAATTTTTTTTAGGAAATCCATTATCAAATGGCTACGCAATAGAATTAGATAATACTGAAGTCAACAGACATGCAAGGACATTTCATACAACTTTAAAGGATGCTCCACGGTTCCCCCAATTTTGGTCCTTATTGTATCCATCATTTTCAATGACTAATTTGCCTGAAGACAACGACGATGATATGATCGTGTTAAAACAAAGTATAATAACACTGGAGAAGAACCAAGAAGAAATACTCAAATTGCTGAAACAACTTACAGAAGGTAATCTTACGTAACGATCTAATATTATTCCAGATTCCAATTCATTATTTCAAATTCACTGAATTAATAAACAATTTTTGAGCTAGTAACATGACTGCCACTTACATGCGCTGTAATTTACATTTTTGCCTATTTAGTAACGAAATTGTAAAGGTTTTTGAAATTTTTTAAATTACGTATAAGTAAATTAATCTTCAATTATATATATTTACTGTTTCTATTTCCAAAATCAATTTAATGAAGTACATATTTGATGGCACAGGCCGTCTGATGCAACATTCAAGTGTGAATCACTGGTGGTGCACCCCGTCGTCAGCATGTTAAATTATTCTGAAATGTTTTTACATTTGTTAACTATTTTTTAAATAAATGTTTAACAATTATTAACAATTTAGTTACTACATATTTTTATTTAGAGTAATATTTGATTACTAAATATTTTTATGTAGAGTAATATTTGGTTACTGAATATTTTTATTCAATATGAAGTTCCTGTTGTAATAGTTTTCGATCAATTTGGAAGCTTCTGCCATCAGTGATTACTGTACCAGTTAACGTGTTAAATTAAACCAAGTGTGTTCATAAAATTTGGATAAAAACATCTCATATTATGAATTTTTTAAACAGCAACTAAAACGACATCCTGCGTTTCTCCATCTGTCCCAATATCTAATAACGACAACATTCAAAAAGAATCTGAGAACGTAGACGAAGATATTATATTTACAACGATTACAAATAAGAAGGATATAGAAACGCTGCAGGGGGATAAAGAAGAAGTACTGGCAGTAAAACCTTTGGAAAATACTTCCATTGAGAGCGTCAATATTGCTGAAAATGAAAATGATTACCAAGACACTTAAGAAGTGTATTTAGTGGTTCTGTAACAGACACTGTACAAATGTACTGTGTACACAAATGCAAAATAAACGAATATTATGCTCATCGATATATGTCAATAAATTCATTTTTGTAATAGACTTATTTAAAGTTTGTAAAGACATATTTCTGTTGCGACTGTTTTGAAAAGTGTGTAACTTATTATAGTATGCGTTTAATATCTACAAATAACTTTTTTAAATTTTCTTGCCACTTCTTCATGACGAGTATACTCGTTAAAACAGCTAACTGGTTAACCTGTTAACTGTTAACTGGAATTTAATTTCAGAAATATCTGACAATGTTCGCAATGAAATAAAATAATGAAGTGTATACTCGTCTAATACAAGCCGAATGCACCTATAATATATTCTAACGAAAACTTAAAGAGAAATGAACAAAAATTACATGTTTATCTACAAAAATAAATAATTTATCGTTAAAAGAATTAATAATATTTTAATTTTAATGAGGTGTATACTCGTCAAACGCAGGCAAGTGGTTAAAGAAAGAAATATATAATATATGAATCAAAAAGTTTCTATATTTACGAACCATAATAACTAAGATTAATTAACATTAATATAAATAGAATGTAGAAAATATAAATAATACTGCATATTCAGGAAATGTATAATTCTTTGTATGATATAATTTTTTCCTTATAACTGAAGGTAGTAATTTATAAATTTACAGTGAATTTAGAAATATATGAATGGCTCATTTGCCAAATCGATTAATTCCATACATGAAAAAATGGAGAAAAGTGATAAAATAATACATTATGTTTTCTGAACTTCCTTTTAAATTATAAATTCAAATAAACATCGTAAAATGTATTACTACAGATATGTCTTTTATTTAACGATACATAAAATGTATAAAATAGAATATCCTTAGAATAATCGTTATTATTACTATAATTTTAGTAAAACTATATTATAGTAATTATTATTACTAAAACTTCTTCGAAAATTATAACCAATTTTCCAGTGTTGTTAATGTAGGTCAACGTCAATATTCGTTCCCATAATGCAACATGCTAAATAATTGATTGTACCTCTCCGAAAAACACATTTCGTTTCGTACGGAGGAGTCATCGCGTGATTGTAGTTCTATTCATTGAAAAGTATTGCGCAAATGGACACACGGTGAATATCAATAAGAACTTTAAGGTCGTTCATACTTCTTGAAAAAGGGCGGAGAATAGTCGCGCAGAAGCCAGAACTCTCTTCGTCATGGCGAAGAACAGTCTTTTTATCGTGTTACTCAGTGTCGTGATTTCAGTTGCATGGACAGGTAAAATTAACAATTTTAAAAATAAATATCATGTTTTCGTTTTGTTTATTACAATAGCTTCAGTCACATTCGTTGAGACATTTGTTTTCTGATTCGTGCAATGTATCACAATTGTTTGAAAATATATATTCTACTAACGTGATTAAGTGAAATGTAGTTTTATAAAGTGTTACAGTTAGTTAGGAAAGAACATGTTAAAAACATGACAATTGTGTAATGAAATGGGTATTAATAGAAATATGCTTTATGAAAATTTGGTTAGAGTCTTAAATATTTATGTATTTAAAGAATAATTTTCTTCATTGTGAGATACAATAAATAAATATTAAAGAATTGTATCTGGTCGATACATGTTCTTGAAAAATAACAATTTCTGATTTTAGAGAAATATTATTTAAATTTTATATGATACAAGATTACTTGAGATCGATATGTTTCAAACTTTATACATTAGTACTTAGATACACCTATGATTTTAACATCGATTTAACATAATAACTTTTTATTGCGTTCCAAGATTAAGCAGACTTTTTACTGGACATGTGCAGTGCACATATCACGTATTTTCGAAATCTATGAACGGCTATACCTTTTGATAAAAGAAATATCAACTTTGAATTTGAGTTGAAAATTTATAAAATCAATTAACTTTAGTTATTGTTTGTGTAACCTTATCCAATTTTTTTTTACTTTAATTATTTACTTTATTAAATTTATAAAAATTACAATTTCCAAACAACTATCGTTAAAAAAGTATCGCAAAAGCTAAACAGAGGTTAAAACAATAAACTATTTGCGCTAATGTAAATATTCGCTCTGAATAATAAAGTTCAATAAAATTAGAAATATTTGATGCATAACACGACTATATTATTATGACAAATTTTATCATTTTCCAAATATTAATTACCTTCATACTTTTAAAAAACATGTTAATATAGTCAGCGTCAGTTAAAGAAAGAATACATTTCATTAAAAAATTTAGCATATCTGTGACACATATGTTAAGTAAAATATTAATAATATGATAAGATTATAAAAATTAAAAAAATATAAATTCTATTCAATACAATTTTTATAAACAAATAATATAATAAATAATATTTAGCTGTTACAGTTACATACATTGAATTTTTACTCAACTCCATTTTCTAATTCTAATTAAAGGCTATTGAATTTTTGATAATGGAAATAAGAATTCCAGATGTTAAACAAATAAATAATTTCTCGTGCCTAATATCTAAGCCTGTAATAGATCGTCCAAGTTGACTTAAAAAAAGATCTAAACTTAAGTTTAAAAATTAAATCAGATTCGTTACTACATATTAATATTAGCAATAGATTCATAGTGTCCAATATCATTAAAAAATTGTTAAGCCATAAGAAAAAACATCCGCGTTAAAATTTTTTTTATCGAGTATGTTCTTTCCAACAAGTTGAGACTGAACGAGAATGAAGCCACATCCAGAGGAAGTATTGCGTCCTCTATATGTCACTTAAAAACACTTCTCATTTTCTAGATGATCGCACTCTTCTCACAGAAGAAGAGGAACGACGATGGAACACGCCACCGGAGCTCATACCAGAGGAAGTCATCAAGTCTAACATGAAGAACGGACGATCGTTGTCTATTCCGATTACGGCGAATATTAACTTGAACACGGGAAACAATGCGCATTCTTTAGGCTTTCAAGTAGGCCCTGGGGGTGTCAGCTACTCCGAGAGTAACAGCTTCAACCAACCGTAAGTCTTTATAATCAGGACTACGTAGAAAACTATGTACCGTGTGTTCGACAACAGGTGGAAGACAATTTAGAGAGATTCCATGATGTAAAACGAAAGTCAAGAGTATAAGAATTACAGTTTGAATTTTGTTTTTGAATTAATTAAAATAAGCAAAAATAATCTATTCATTAATAGTTTATAGTTTAAGTGAATTATTCATTACGTTAATGATTATTCTGAAGTAACGGCTAATAGTGATGCTCGTAAGAGATTCATTCATGTACCGCCAACAGTAAGTTTTAATGGTTACTAATTTTAAAATAAAATAAAAAACGCAGTTTCTTAACTATTGATTTTTATTTTATATCGTTATAAAGTATCACTCTTTATGTTTTTTCACAGATAAATGACATAGGCAATTTTGATACGCTTTTAATAGCGACTTCATCACGTTCGTCGAATATAAAATTATTATAACAGTGAAATTAATTTTTTATTCATAAATTTACTAATGAGCTACAGTTTACATATAAAAATAATAGAAAGATTCACAAAACTATTTTAGCACTTTACAAAAGCATATATTTAACATTTTTTATTTCAGTCAATAGTTTTTCAGGTATTTGACTAAATATGTTGCTCACCTGTAACTTCAAAGACTACTTTCATAACTTCAAAATAAACGACGATCGCAGATATAAAAATATGTCAATATTTCGTTTAGCACTGTCACGTAAGAAGCGGATAAAAGTAGGAGCTTCTCAGTTGCCAGGTTTTCCATATTATTACACAGTTACTTGCAATAAGTCATTAATTTAAAAAAATATTCCATTCTTACTGAATCACAGTTTCTATGTAACTCACTTTTCTATTATAACGTCTTACTTTAAGATTTATTTAATGTTTGTTTCTAAATTACATTGATAACATAAGCAATAAATATTTTTTTAGCATTATGACGCAAAGTCAATCGGTGTCATTAGCAGCTGGTTCAGCAGGTATATCTGGTTCCGTAAGCCAAGCTGTTGGCCAATATTATCCTGTTCATAATATCCAAGGAAACGTAAACAGACCATCGCTCGCTATTAACGCCGCTACTTCTTCATCTACATCAACTCAAAATGGACATGCAACCACAGCTGCAGCTTCATCTGTTGGTTCTTTACATACTTCTACGTCATCGACTGCAGGAAATATCAGACCAATCCAAGGAACAATAGTCAGATTTCCAGGACAAAATAATAGATATCCGATGTGGACCAATGTCCGTCCAAATCATAATAATAACGGTAATGTCATCAATGAGCAATAAATATAGTTACATTATTGAACAACATAACTAACAGTAACGCCGTAGGTCGTAAGCCTTCAAATCAACCGAAATTGGAAATTGACGTGAAACCACACACGCCACACCAGAAAAAAAATAATGGACCTGTAGTACTGGAAATTACATCGCATCAAATACAACCACAAAATAGGAGACCAATGGTTCATATATACAAGTGGTACCCTAGGGCAGAGGATGTCGATGAACAATTTTGAATAAAAATAGGAATTAAATTCTGAAAAATATTTTATTTACATTAACATTAACAAATGTCCTCTGTGATTTGTGTAATTCTAAATTGAAATTTTTAAATTAACTTGTTGCTGAAGTATTGTTTATTTGAGATACTCCAACATTTGTAGTACACTATTACCAATGTATTTCTTATCAATTATAATTATCATTTAAAACTGTCATTTTAAAAAGAAATGTAAGAGAAGCTGATATAATTGAAACATATTTATTTAAATATAAGTATTTATAATATCAAATGCAGTTTTTTAAATGTAAATATATATAAATAAAACGTGCTTTTAATATCAAGGAGTCTTACAGTGAAGTTATTAAACTATTCCAAAATGATCTGTATCGTACAGACAAAACAATGGGTTACTGAAGGGTCTACTCTACGTATACAAATTTAATAAACACTACAATCTATCAACAAAAACTATATATGTATATTACATTTATACAAAATTAAACAAATAAATACAATATTCTGTCAACAATGTATATAGATTTAAAAATATAAAATCTCGTCTTTTTTATACAGATTTTCATTATTCAATAACCCATTTATGATGCTAGACATTGATGCTTTAAACACTATAAATCTTTTGTATGTAACTGCACTTTGTATGTAAAATAGTAAGACTGTATCCTTTCAATATAATGTTATATATTTAATATCTTTATAGCAATGTAGATTCATATAAGTTTTTCAATCTTTCATAATCTCCTTCTAAACATTACACAAATGTGAATCTCGAAGTGTCATTATACAATTTATGTATGTGTTAAATGTTTGTCTGATTATCATCAGGCAAACCATCTTTGTGTTGATTTCGTGCAGGTACTTCCCCAGAATCAACTTGAAACATGTACTCTACGAGATCTACTACACGGTGAGCATAACCATATTCATTGTCATACCTGTAAACATTTTTATAGAATCATAAAATATTTTAATTAATGAAATTCAATTTTGTACATATTATAAGTATGTAAGTGATTCATATAGAAAATAAACCAATATTAAATGTTGTATATAAGTTCAATGTGACAAATTATTTGGCAAAAAAAAGTTTTCTTGAAGTGTTTAATTTGTACTGTAATTATTGATGTAAAATTTAATAAAATTACCAGGCAACAACTTTGATGAATGTACTTGTTTGTGGAATACCAGCTTTCGCATCAAATATACATGAATAACTTGTATTGTTGAAATCAGATGATACACAGTCATCATCTGTATAACCAAGAATATTTTTTAGAGTATTTTCTGATGCAATCTGCATTGCTTCCTTTATTTCTTCATATGTTGTCGGTTTATTCACTCTGACATAGAGATTTTACATACACAGATTTTTAATTATTATTTTATATGTATTATAAGCTATTAAAAATATAAAATCGCGTCTTGTAATGTATTTCTCAGTCTTTATTATCAAAGAAAGTATAAATTCTACCAGTTAATAATATATTTTGCATATAAATATGAAACTATTTTATAAGTAATGCATTCATTAGGTGTGTTCCTTACTGCTATACTATTATTTATTATCTTTTAAAAAGATCACATTACTTATGGAACAGCCCTTTATGTTACCTGAAAGTCATGTCGCATAATGAAACATTTGAGACTGGTACTCTGAAAGCTATTGCAGAAATCTTCCCTTTGAGTTCAGGGATAATTTTGTCCAATGATTTAGCTGCACCCGAAGATGTTGGAATAATGTTTTGCACAGCACCTCTTCCATCTCTCCATAACTATGATAAAAATATACTATTTTACTATTTTAATTCCATATAGAATATAAAATATTACTACACAAAGAAAATTATTTTAGAAAAAAAGAGAGAATTTTATTCGGAATAAATAGTTGAAAATGTTCTTATTAAATAAAGAATTTTTAATTTAAAGTTTTATAGTTAAGACAATCAATGTAATTGATAGTAGTATTAATCAAAAGAATGAATATTTACCTTTCCTCTTTCTATAGGACCATCTAGAATTCTTTGTGATGGCGTTAAAGCATGTACACTAGTGATCATGACCTCAATAACTTCAAAGTTATCATGCATAACTTGTATAATTGGAGCTGCACAATTTGTTGTGCAAGAAGCAGCTGATACTATTTTACTTGCTATTGGATCATAACATGTATGATTTATACCATAAACTATCATCGGTGCATCAACAGAAGGTGCAGTAATAATAACCCTTTTAGCTCCACCATCCATGTGTAACTAAAATCATAAATATTTTATTATAATGTATCTTATATATAGAATTCCTAATATTAAAATGTAATTAAAAGAATCATACATTGTTCATTAAAATGTTGGTTGAAATTACAAATACTATTCATTAAATGAGTATTGGATTTACTATAATCTCTACACATTGTATTTAAATGGTTTACATATGTATATATATTACAAATCTAATAAAAAATATACATCCAATTCTTTATTACATATACATAGTAAATAAATAAATAATAATAACACAAAAATTTCTTACACCTGCTTTGTCCAATGTATTAAATACTCCAGTAGCTTCAATTACATAAATAACGCCTGCATCTTTCCATCTTATTTTGCTTGGATTTTTTTCTTGTGATGTAGCAATCTTTTTATCTTTAATAAAAACAATAACATATTAAGTATTTCAATATTTCTAAATTACAGACTATATTGGACAATTTTCACAACTTAAATTTTACACTAAAGTAATGAAACTTATCAGTAAAATATAAATTAAATGAGTTATTCAGTTTTGTTCTCAATTTAATATTTTTGAATATTCAAATTTAATTTAAATTAAACTATAATACACGATTTTATTAAATGTAAAAACGAAGCATTGTAAAATATACATACCTGCAACAATAATATGTCCGTTTTCACATTCCAATTTTAAAGGATAAGTGCCGTGAGTAGAATCATATTTAAATAAATATATCATATAATCAGTTGTAATATAAGGATCATTAATCATTTTAACCTATTAAAATATATAATTTGTGTTCACTGAGCATAGAAAATGTGTGCATTTTAAATAATTAACATTACTTCAATATTCTTTTCTATGCAGGCACGAAGACACATTCTTCCTATTCTACCAAATCCATTAATTCCTACCACTGCCATGACATTAACGCCAAGTTATTAATTATTATTGATACTTATTAAATTACATACAAAATTTGTGTATTATTCAGTTAGTTGCTACTATTGTATCGTAATCAATAACGCGAATTTGTTTGCGAAATGTTTCTAAAGTGACGTAAACTTTGAAACACGAAGTTTCATGATTATAACATTTGCAGTATTGCACAAAGAAATCGTTATAAAACCATGTCTGACTTAATAGATAAAATTAGTATTGCATTTAGACTAGTTGGAATAAAATAATTAAATTAATAAAAACATTTACTAAAATGAATTATTATACAGAAACTTTACTGTTTTCCTTTTACATTATTTTAGAGATCAGTAACAAATAATACCAATTATCTCTATGTAATATTTTTTTAACTTATTTTACTAAAACACCTATATGTATAAACATAGGAATAAATATAAAACGGAGATTAGTTTTAATACTTTTGTAAAGAAATATTTCATGTTATTGTGTGGATAATATATTACGTCCAGAGTTGATTACTAATTAATTCGAATTTTAAAGTTCCATTAATGC